AGATTGAAGGATTCTATTAAGACCCCCACTTGCAGGAGCGTATTATCATGGCTGACCCCGAGAACATGAACGGACATGTGCAGGACAACGTCGCTGTTATCAACGCGGTCAACCCTGAGCAGATAAAAAGCGTTGCTAGCCTGGTCCAGGTTACTATGGAAGGTAAATTTAGTTTTATTTCAAGCAAGGGGGTAGAGTATTGGACAAATCAGTGATTTAATAAGGATGCGAAGCTCTTTAAAACCTTGTTAGCAGGGCATTTGCGTTTCCTTCAATGATTTTTTGCTTCACTATTACAGTTTTTCGTCAAATAAAAATATTGAAATTCTTAGATTTTTTCTAATTAGTGGTTTTTTTTATTTTTTATTTAAGGGGAAAACTTTTTTGTTGTAAAATAATAAAATTACGACCCGGGAAATAATTACCTCAGGTGTTGGTCTAATTGGTTCAGTCGTTTTGACATATTATTTGACCCTGCTACAAAAAAACAGAAGCCCATTTTGTGAAGGTTATAATCAAATTGATGACTTGCGATGAATTACTACTACAGTCCTTTTAAGCAATATTTCGTTTAGGAAAGGTACATAATCAGATTGTGAAGTCTAGTGTGACGATAGCTGAGCTGGCAACCACGCAGCCCATCAATTCAATGATCATGAACGGTCAACTTCAAACCAGTGTCAACGGGATTAATATACAGAACGGACTAGCTACACAGATTAACGCTAAGGTAGATAAACTGGTAAATACTGGATGTCCGAAGTGTTCACAGAAAATAAGCTTGTGATTCCTCGACTTTTAAAGGGACAGGCGGTGTGCCTACATACCAGGGAGTAAGGAATTCCTTACTCCCTGCTACATACCCTCCCTTGTAAGTTTGGTTTACAACTAAACCTTTGTTATTATATATTACCATTTCCTTTATTTTCTCTGCCGCAGAATTCCGCATGTAAACTTTTTTGCGTATACTAAAATGTATTAATTTCTTTCATTGTTTCTGCTGCACATAATTCGTAATTTGGATCATTTTTGCTCGAACAAAGGCGAGACCTACGGGAACCAGGCAATCATTGTACATTTCTGATATGGAGGGTCACTTAGAATTTAGCCGACGGTCTCTTTCCAAACTTATCTCATCTCATCATCTTGTTCAGAAACTTGTTTCTTCAATCTGGTTCTTAAACTGTAGTTTCTGTTTCATTCATTCATTTTTTTTAACTTAAAATTTTGCAAATAGATTTTCACGACAAATCATTATTTTGTTGACAGAATTGATTTCAATTTATTCTACAATGCATTCAATTTTTTTTTTTTTAGGGTTCCTATCAGTCATTTTTGAAATATAACATATTTTTTATATTTCTAACCAGTGCTTAGGATCTGGATCCGTTGGATCCGCAAGATTTTGGCTTCCTGGGTCCGGATCCACAAAAATATCGATCCAAGGGGTATATCAACCAAAACTACAAAAAAAAAAAAAAAACTTTTTACTCCTGAAACCCAAATCTGAACTTTTGAAAAACAGTTAAATTATGAAAATTTCCTCATTTCTGAATGGTTCATCAAGTTTTTGGATGAAAATAAGCGAGAAAAAAAATAAAACAAACAATTTGAAAATTATTTTTTTGCGAAAAAAATCAGTAAATCTTAAAGAAATGACCTGGATCCGGATCCGCATCAAATTTAAATGGATCCTAAGCACTGTTTTTAACCCTAAGTTCAGGGGGTGCCTTGCTTTTGCTGATCTTTGTTTTTTTTCCCTACATTTTAGCATTTTAATGTTTTTGGAAAATGCAAGTCCCGTTTTAAAATTTTCTCCAAAGCTCTAAAATTGCATTTAAAATAGATACTGCTGCGATTTAATTGTAACACTCAAAATTGACCAAATTGACGATTTTAAAAAAGTACAGCTTAAAAATTGTTAAGGCTGCGACTGGTGAAGAGATTCCTGACCAGATCATGGTGACCACCAGACAGCAGTACGGACTACCCGACAATGGCGTTATCTACTGTAACTTCAACCAGCTGTACAAGATTGATCCAGGAACTCTCAAGATGTGGGTTAATATTCTCAACAGGGTTCCAAACAGTGTTCTCTGGCTCCTAAGGTTCCCTCAGGTACGAGTCTCGTTATTATACAATTGAACAATAATTACTTTTTAAGGATCATAAAATTTTTTGGTTGAACTTGGGAAATTAAATGATAACAAGGGGAAAAATAAATCTTTATTCTTAGAAAGTTATTGTTCAATTGTATCTTTTTTCTTAGTAATTATTGTTCAATTGTATCTTTATTCTTAGAAATTATTGTTCAATTGTATCTTTTTCTTAGAAATTATTGTTCAATTATATCATTATCCATAGAAAGTTATTGTTCAATTGTATTTTTATTCTTAAAAATTATTGTTCAATTGTATCTTTATTCTTTATCCTTAGAAAGTTAATCAATATCTTAGGTTGGAGAAACTAATATCCATGTGGCTGCTCAGCAGATGGGATTAAAAAATGGAAAGATTATCTTCTCCAATGTAGCCGCTAAAGAAGAACATGTGCGTCGTGGACAACTTGCTGATGTTTGTCTAGATACTCCTCTATGTAATGGTCATACCACAGGTAAAAGTCAACAATGTAAATTATTCGTCGTTTCACTTTCTACTTTAACTTCTTAAATATTTTCGCGAATATTTCCGTTAAGATCAATTTGTGACAAAGTAAAAAATGTGACATCCATTCTTGGATTCTTGGCATTTGAAGAAAAATAGTTGGTATGGAATAAAGGGAATTGAACACTCCGCAAATTCTCATTCTCAAATACCTGGGGTCACGTAAATAACAAAACAGAGAGGTGATTGAACTACCTTCGGTTCAAATCCTTGTGAATCTTTAACTTTGAATTGGGTATTCAAGGTTTGAATCGGCGGTAAGTAGTTCAGCGACTTCTAATAATCATTAAATTCGGTCCCTGAGGTTGTACTCGTAGATCTTTGGCATTTTAATTATGAGCTTTTTACGATCAAGTAGTTTGAAATATCAACTATTTACACCATCATGTTGCAAAGATGCAGGAATTTATTTTTTCTCGCAGAATTGCTAACTTGAGTATTATCAAGGTATGGATGTCCTATGGGCTGGTACTCCTATGGTGACACTTCCAGCAGAGACCCTGGCTAGTCGTGTAGCTAGCAGTCAACTTGTAACTCTGGGGCTACCTGAGCTAGTAGCCGAGTCTAGAGAGGATTACGAGAATATCGCTGTCAGAATAGGAGTAGACAAGGAATAGTAAGTATCAACAAAGCAACTTTTTTTTTTGAACCATTGATTTTTCTTGCTTGGTACGTTTTGTATAATTTAACTAAAAAAAATGAAATATGGGTACATATGACTTAAATAATTAGCTTCTAAAGAAAGGTTTTTTTTTACTTTTTATAATCGTTGGAGTTTTGTTTCCATCTTGGGCCACCAAGAATCCCAAAATGGGAAAAATCGGAATACTAAAATAACTCTGTACAATCTTTAAAGATAAACTTTTTAAAATTGTTAACTCGATACAGAACCTTCCAATTCTAAAAACTTATTAATTTTTTGTTTAGCCGACGAATGATCCGTGCCAAGGTGTGGGCTGGTCGACTGGAGTCTCCGCTTTTTAATGTGAAAATATATACAAAGTAAGTATTTAAGCATCCTCTCTTTCGTGGACGATTGTATTTTTCACTAATGATTTTTTAATTTTATTTACTCATTAATACAAAGAAATCTTTAAATTAAATCAATTTATGACTATTAATATTGATTTAACATTTTTGGATGTAAAATTTTCACGGATTTTTGTTTCAGGGATCTCGAGGATTTGTTCTACAAGATGTGGGAGAAGTTCAGAAGAGGAGAGAAATTGACGCATATTACCCAGTAAATGACGCAAAAACTTAAAGCTGACGATCATACAGGACGTGCTATTTGGCGTCATGTCGGATCGGGATAAAAATCCTGATCATAAAACACTTCTTTGTGCAAAAATTATGATAAAAGAACACTAGAAAATGAAAATTGGGATTATTGCACGAATTCGGTTAAGCACAGCTGAGTTCGCATTTTAAATATGCGGCTCTTGATCGTAAATAGAGTATTTCGGCGAATCAAAATTATGCATGTAAATCTTAATTCCCCTGTTAACATTAATTTTAGCATACTTTTACTCTAGTGTAACTGTATGCCATGTATGTGCGCATGTTAGTGTGCGCACTTTCTGAACTGCTTTCTGCGCCTCGTGAACAAGATTCAAGTGAGAATTCCATTCAGTTAGTGTTGTAAATATCTATATATATAAACTACATAAATAAATATTATTATCGTAAATATTTCATGTTAGATATGAATATAGAGTCGTAGATGATATAAACGTCTGATTGTTAACTGTCCCAGGAGTCCTAGCGATCTGAACTTGAAGGAACTCTAAGTGTAATTTAAGTGGTCATTCATTTGATGACAACAGTGCCATTAAAACCTAAATCTGTTAAAAATTATGGAAGTTTGCGTCGTTTTTCTGATTCGGAAACTGACCGCAACAAGCGCGCAAATCACATTTACAGAGCAACCAGAATCTGAAACAAAAACAAGAATATTTAATTCAAATTTGATCAGACATCTTTAAACCGTTGTAAATCAGACATTGCCATCTTCAGAAAGAGGTTCACTTAAAATCACGCTTCATTTACCTCTGTTTAATGTCAGATATACCCAACTTTGCGTTAACTGTAGTTTTCGAAAAACACTGTTAACGAACTGAAAACATTTTCATACTGTCGTGATAATCTGAAGAGAACATTTTTTCGGTTTTTATTCTGCATTGAGTTAATCCTGCCTCTTGGTCTGATTCTTGAAAGTGTTCCCCTTTCCTACAGTAACCATAACGAACATAGGAATTAAAATACCACTAGTATATCTTCTTCTATTTATGCGTAATTTATACACACAATATTGAAGTAATCAATTTTAACCATGTAGTTACAAGAGCCTCTGGTATGGAGAATTTCAAAACGTGGGCTACCATTTTTATATTTTCAAAATCGACGAAAATATTGCAAAATTTAAACGGAAAAAATGATTATCTAAATTTTTCCAAAAAATCGTCTTACCAACAAAAGATATGACTTTAAAGAGTAAAGACGACCTAAAACTCTTTAAAAAAAAGACGATTCCAATGGTGAAATAAGTCTTCTGTTTAGACTTCAGTCACTATATTTTATATATATATATAGTATTTATTTTCAAACACAAAATACAAAATAATAATGTATGATGGTTCAGCTTAAAATAAAAGACAAAAGAAAATTTATTATGAGCCAATTGAAAATATAATGTTTGATAATTTTGTTTGATCTTTTTTGTTGAAACAAAGTATACATATTGAAATCTCAACTAAATATACATTCATAGTGCATTTACAAGTAGATAATTAGTCAGCACTTAAATAATCAAAACATTTTCAGGAATGCATTCATTGAACTTATAAATACATATTGATACAGCAAAAGTAGAGATATATTCTCGTTGACTGTAGTAGACTTGACATCTACCATTATCAAAGGGTGTGAACCCATACTCGTTGACTTAAGTAGACTTTGACATTCATCATTAGCAAAGGGTGTGAACCCACACTCGTGGACTGTAGTAGACTTTGACATCTACCATTAGCAAAGGGTGTGAACCCACACTCGTTGAGTGTACTAGACTTTGAATGGCCTATTTAAAATTTAAAAAAGAACGAAACAAGATTGAAGTAGGAAACTATAAATATTAGGAAACAGACAGTAAAAATTTCGTGTCTTAAGTCTCATCCTTTCTGGGTAACCCTGTATCTGATATCTTCATGGAAATGTCGTAAGACATACACCCTCGTTCTTATACTTATTGCGCCTTGCAGTAAATATCAGAAATCATGGACAACTTTCAGTCGTCTCTAAATTCTCATGTTTATTGGGACACCCTGTATATTGTAATTAATTGCCTTTACTTCACTTTAAAAGTTGAAGGGTGAAGAACTAAAATATAGAGAATGGTGAAAAATATTGTATGCCTGCAGTTATTATTTTAAAATTGATCTCCAAGTAAAATATATTTGAATTAAAGAAGTTTTTAACGAAATGACATGCAAAAAGTCTTTTTATATTTTTGAAATTTCTTGTCTTTATTTAAGAAAAACGAAATTATAGTGAATTGCAAGAAAAAACAGGATTGATATTTAGACATATAATTTAATGTTGTTGAGGTTTTCATCAATTATTGATTAAATATAATATCCGTTGAATGGTTGCAGATTGATTGTAAAAGTATGTTTGATCAATAATCGTATGAAACAAGATACAGTATTCAGTAAGTTGTTAAAGACACATAGTGAATATAGAAATCAATTATTTATTTTAAAGGGACTGACAACGTAATTAAGTACACTGATTTAAATTTAGCTACGCATCGTAGTGCCAGTAACTTTTCCTTGAAAGGGATAGCACATTCCATTGCATTACATTTTGTGATAAGCTCCGCTCCTTTGAAAATAGATTTTTATCAGTGTACTACTCTCAATTTTACTATAACAGCTTTTTTGCTTGAAATTCAGATATGTCAACGACGCGAATCGATTATTCCAAGCGATCATGTATTATATAATTAATGTAAAATTAGTAATGAGCGGAATAAAGACAACATTCAAAAACACCAAATCACATAATAATTATTTTTTTAATTTTCACCAACTTTTATATCAAAAATGATTTTCAATCTCCATCTGTTCGGTTTCTCCGGCCCTAGCCCTATGCACATTCCAATGAAAAAGTAGAAAGCTTGAAGTCTAATTTTTTCTTTTAATGATAAAATGTCGCCAAGGATTGTGCAATTGAACTGCACTGGAAGAAACGCATTTTAAGAAATATTTCTAGAAGCAACTGTGCAGTCCTATTTTAAGAAATTCCAAGACAACAGATTTTGATAATAACTGTTGTTTTTCAGAAAATGGCTTCATTAGGAAAATACCCTGCCATTTGTGAAGGGATCCAGGACCTAAGTGACAAAAACAAGAATGTAAGAAAGTCTGCACTTATTCGCCTTCAAAAGGACGTTTTTGACAATAAAGAACATCTTAAAAACGAGACAAAAGAGTTTTTGGATTCTAACTTTTTCTCCAAAATCGTTGCTCGTCTAGGAGATGAGAATGAACGTATCCGTGAGATATCGGCCGGTTTTATTCTTCAGCTGCTGGACGATTTCAAGGATTATTTGCTGGACACATTCTTCTTCAATACAATACAAATCATATTTGATCGATTTTCAGAAGGAATTATTCAAATCACAATTATTTGCTAAATATTTTTTTATGACATTCAAATACTTTTTAAAAATTCATTGCAGATTTGTTGTTTGAACCTAGGCGGAACTTTTTTCTTCCAAGGATTTTTTTTCCGGTTATAACTGTAGCGTTACATCCAGACCGGGGTAATATTTGGCCCGGATGCAATACAAAGACGACATTAGCAAACAAACACATTTAAAATTTTAGTCTGCAAAAGAGTGGACAACATGCTTAAATATAAATGTACATAATGTGTGTGCTTCTAGTTTTTAATTGCATGGCCTACCAAACAAAAAATTGTAACAATTTCAATAACAATGATAATGTGGATGCTTTGGGTTCGTCAAAGTAAACAATTTTTGGACCCCCCCCCCCGTTCTATCAATTTTGTACATAACCAGCGGTAATTTCCTAATATACAATTTTTGACCCCCTTCCCCTCCTATCAATTTTGTACTTGGAATTCACATGTAACACTCACCTGGACCAAATATAACGCCCGGGCCTTATTTAACGTGACACCGGTGTATTTTATTTGTGAATCTGTTCATCTCTGCGTTCTAACGTTTCATCACAATGTTATGAGTTATGACATTAAAATCAATTTTCTTCTTTTGCCGATTTTGGTTTAATTTATTTAATATTCAATAAATTATCTTTGTCTCGACTTAATATGGATAATTTGAAGGGAAGAAGACATTTGAGAAAAAATATTTTTTTGCGTTTTCCCGCTTTAATAATACATTTTAAAACTTAATTGCATCTATTTATGTTATTGTTAACTAATCGTGTTAAATGTTTAAATATTGCGTTTTATGTTTATCATTGTGTTGAAATGGTGAAGAATTTATGGGGAGATGAAAAGAAACAGGACACCGGATTAGATGAAATATTTTAAATGTCGTCCTATAGGTGTTTCTCATTAACTTTCTTCTTTGGTCATCAAACAAACATTTATTTTTATTTTTGCCTCCTAAGTGTTACGGCCAAAAGTATGTAGGAAAGGGTTACCCACAAATATGAGACTTCAAAGACGACTGTGCGAAATTTCTTAATCCCTGTTTTCTAAAAAGAAAGGTCCTATAAATGCTTGTGTTTTCAACCTTTTGCTTATTTGCTAAATTATTTAGTTGACATATTTAAGACTATATACAACCCTCAAAACTTCAGATTTAAATATGAGGTCTACTTTTTGGACACCGATTTTTCTTATAAATTTGACTCAGAATCATTTCAATATTTAAAATTTCTTGCATAAAAAAGTTTTAAAATTGATTTTAGTTTAATCTTTGATTTTACGATGCAACATCAATTGGACAAAAAGTGAGTCTACTGTTTAAGGGAAGGGATCCCTTTCTTTCGAAAGAGGGGAAACACATATTTTTTGGACGACCTCTCCTATAACCCCCTTGATCATAATTCTGATGAAAATTTGGATTAATTACAAACCAGGAGAAGAGACTGAACCCTCGGAAGAAGTTAGGCTGGAAATGATGAGAATTATAGCCGCCATTTTAACAGATTCTCCAAACCAAACCAAGTCAAATAGAAGTGAACTATTTAGAATAATTCAATATGGCTTCGCTGACAAATACCACGAGGTAAAAAGGAATTTTAATGAGATTCATAAAGAGATTTATCAGGAGATGGGTCTTGGGGGAGGGGGGTAGACTTTGAATACAAAGTTCAGAGGTGAACATTGTACAATGTACAATTTAAAAAAAATTTAAGACTGAAGGGAAAGATTGCTCATAAGACTTAAAATTTCAAGCGTAGCTATTAACATTTTTTGTTTTATTTCTTTCTTTTAAAATCATTTTTTTCCCAAAAAGCTAAATTTAGTCTTTTTTTTAAGAGAAAGGAAATTGATTTATCAAGAAAACACATAGTTTTGTGATGATATGACAAAAGTAAGATTTTTTAAAGAATCAAATTAGTTATTTTTGAATCAATAAAATATTGCTGTTAGTCTGTTAAGATTCAAAGATCTTAAACCTTTAAAATAATAAAACAAAGTGCAGGTAAACATGGGTGACAAACTTCATGAATGATTTCAAATTACAAAAAAAAATCACAATTAACAATAAAGACGATAAAATTTAGATAATTCCTTTGACCAACTGATGAATAAATACTGGGACTGTAATCGAAGTTATCTCGCATTAATTAGATTAACAACGATATTCTTTTTAGCTTCATATAGATAATTATACTGAAGACGCTTTTGTCGTTTTCTTTATCTGGAAAAGTGTTTAATTCTGACAATTTCTTTCTTTTTCACCTGTTTACTGAAACCATGCCCAACTGAAGATAATCAAGATTTAGCCAGAAAAACAAAAATATCTCATCAATCTTTGATACTCTAGTGAGTCGGACATGCCATGCTATAATTAGAAGAGTCACTTGAAATTACTTCTTCTGTTCCTTTAAGTCTGTATCCACCCTAGGTGAAGATCCTAAGCTGTGAGTGCCTGATATCCATGTGCAAAGTTGAACAGAGTTTACTGAAGGAAAAATGGGAACTATTGGTTCCATCTATATCCAGGTTAGAAAATATAAAATTAAAACTGGAATGATTGTCGTCTTCGTTGAAATTTACAGATGTTTTATGATAATGCTCGAGAAAATTTTGTAAAATTAATATTTTTGGGCACGTTCCAAAACCCATTCGTTCCTTGTATGTTGCTATATGATCGTTCTAATTTCTAAAAGAACTGTGTTCCTTAGATTCTTCGAACAATGTGGTCGTCAAAAGAAAATCCTGTCTGTTCATTGATAAAACGATCGTTCCCCGTTAGCAGCGCCCACCTACATTAATTGTACTATAATACCATTTTGTATTGAATTTTAACTGAAGCCTGTATACAGGGTTTGCCCTCTTCAATACGACTAAAAACATCAAGGGTTAAAATAATCAAACATTTTCGAGGATTCACATCAAGGAATATGTGATGAAGTGGTGGTGGTGGTGGTGGGGGAAGCTGCATCCATGAGGGTTGGGGAGGGGTGAACGCTTTAAAGGGACTGTCGGCGTACTATTAAGTAACCCTATATATAAAAGACGGGCGTATCTGATTCACAAAAGTGCCAGGGTAAATGCATTAAAGCGTGGGTTCTCTATGCAGCAGAGACAAAAAAGAAAGTTGTCAGAATTTATCCCTTTTCCACATGGATATAAAAGTTTGTGAATCAGGCATGCAATTCTAAAAATAGGGGCCTCTTGAAATTATTTCGACAGTCCCTTTAAAGGTCAAAAATACATTTTTCTAAAACTTTTTTTTTGTATAAAATCCATGATTTTTATTAAAAATGTTTTCTTTTCTTTTAAGGAATATTGTTCATCAGCAGTTTAAAGTGCGGGGTAGCAGCGTAGAATCTATTGGACACTTAGGTAAGGTTTTAAGAGAGAAGACGACATTATAGTAAAAGTAAAAAACTAGGCGTTGAAATAAGAATATCAATTTCTCTGGACGTTTTTGAACATTAGAAATAAAAATTATTTAAATTTAACTCGGAATCCACCCCATTCTTAAAGTTTCATGATCTGAGCCGGTACAACATGTACTGACATTCAGTAGTTTATACTGTCCAGTCTGGACTACCCTGTGTAGAGTCGAACCAAACGTGTTATGCAACAAAGCTTGGCAAGATCACAGTGAGTCATGTCTATTTCTTTACGATATTTGTTATTCGTGAACGCTTTCTTTATTAAATATTTTTAGTGAATACAGTTGGTGGCCTAGCATTAGAAAATACAGTGGTTCTCATTGCTCAGCGGGTTTTTGATCCAAATCCACAAGTCAGGAAAAAGGTAATAAAATAGAATTTAAATTATTTGTCATGAAAGTCATGGTTATAAATGATAAGAGTTAAATAAAATAATTTAAAAAATTCAAGAATTTGTTTGTTGTCTAAAATTATTCCCTGCAGACCCACTGCAGTAGAACCATAACCTATACTACAGGGTGTCCCAAAAAACATGGGAATTCAGTGACGAATTCGATATCGTCTTTGTTATGAATTGGCATTGTAATACCTAATTTCAACAGCCATAATATTATTATGTCTTCTAGAATTTATTTTATGAAAAGTGTAAAAGACTGTAAAGGATTGTCTATAATGTCTCCGCAAGATGAACAGTGGAGACGGACAAGTTTACTCTGTTTGTATACTGCAATTTTCTTGTATTACTAAGTACAACCGTATGCAGTCAAAACATAAACAAACAAAATGTGAACATAGCAGACGAAACTTTTACAGATAACAGCTTTCTCAGTAGGTATCACTATACTAAATCAAAGAATTAGTTGAAAAGACGATATCAAATTCGTCATTGAATTCCCATGTTTATTGGGACACCCTGTATACTGCGCTAATGTAACCCTGCACATACATGATAACCCACAAAGGAATGAGAGTTCTGAGACGACTGTACGGAATTTGTTCAGTCTTGTTTATAGTTTATAGATTGCATTCAAGACAGAATTGACTAAATTAAAGCTTAACCTTAAATCATCACATTTAAAGAGTTTCAGGTCATCATTTAATTAAGTATCATGCTCCGAAGCATGACAATTTCAAGATTTTCTTTGACGTCTTGGAAAAAATTCACTGCGGCATTCGATCGTAAATAAAATGAAAACAAATTCGTGAAACAATAATCACATATCTTAAAAAGTTGCATGCCTTTGTTGTCTTATCAAAACCATTGGAATTCTTCGAAAAATATAGAATATTTCTTTATTTTTTTTTCAATTCAAATGGAAATAAAATTTGAATAAATTTTTACTTTAATTCTGGTTTAAAGAGAAGCTTATATCTAAAAATAACCTTTGCATCAAAACAAGTACAGAAATCTTTGATAAAAATACCTATAACACTATTATTTTGGTTCGCCGAGTGTTAAAAGTTTTTGGACAGTAACATTTTCTTTATCAAGAAGGTTCATAAATTTAAAAAAAAAAAATTTATTTTTGGGAACAAAAATTTCGGTTTTGAAAAACAAATTTGAATATATTTTAGCCTATATGTTACCCCCGGGGTACTCAAGGCTTTCCTTAAAAAAATTGTCAACTCATTCGGTCCAGCCGTTTAGCCAGCTATAGCTATCATGTAAATATATGTATATAAATGAGCGAAGAGCTTTCTTATATAGATAGTTTTAAAGCAAATTGTTTGATAAATCAACTAAGTTCAATGGGTAGTTAAAAAATTTACGTTTATTGTACGATGTTTAATTGAAGATTAATCGATGGTTAATCCATGGTTAATCGATGGTTAATCGATGGTTAATTGATGGTTAATCGATGGTTAGATGGTTCATTGATAGTTAAAATGAAAATTTAAAATTTCTTTCTATTCCGCAGTTTCATGGGTCTCATCATGTCTCATTTAGAAAAAAAAACCTTCTTTAGGTTCTAAAGTAAGAACCAGCAAATTGAAGAATAGGAAGACGACATTATAGCAATATAGTGTATTTAATGTTGTTACAAAGCAAATAGTTTTACTAGAAACTTATTAAATCACTAATTTAGTGAAATGGTTCTGCTTACACTGCACAATTACTGTTTCTCATGCTCATTAGACTTTTATAAGTTATAACTTGAAAGTCGTCTTCCTAGTTCAGAGTTTTCTGGTTATCGTTCTTTTACGAATATTATTTGGAATGGTACATAGCTTCCTTTAAAATGATTTCTACAGCTCTATAAATGTTTAGATATTCATATTTCTACAAAATTGTTCCACTCCTTATCACCTTTTTGGAGGATTCAATAACTGAGGTAATTATACTTTATTTCAAATTCATGTTGTAACACAGTGGTCAGCGTTTATATCAATAAAATAAAGACGAGTTTTATATTTAAATTTTGATTTTCAGCAAGCACTTTTTTCCAAATACAAGTTTACAATTAAACATTAAGAGAACAAAATCAGTTGCCAGCTTTTCTTTGTTTACATTTTTATGTTTATCCAAGCTATTGGAAAGCTTGGCAGAAATCAAAATTAAAATAGAAAGTCGCCTTCATTGTATTAATTTGGACGACGACGACTGTATTTAAATTTAGACTTTTAACAAGCTTCAACAAAGAGAAGCTGTTACTTGACAGCTTCTCTTTGTTTCCTTGGCTATGTACAGTGATTATATCAATACAATGAAGACAACTTATTCATTTAAGTTTTGATTGTTAACGAGCTTTTTCCGAATTACAAGTTTACAAGTAATCAAACAGAATCTTTTTTAATTGATAGCTTCTCTTGACTTCTATGTTTATATGTATCCGTGCACTGTTTAACAGCTTTATATAATTCAAAACTTAAATCGAAAGTCGTCTTCATTATATTTATATATATACGACGACGACTGTAATAAATTTTCTTCTAATTGTTATTTATCATAGCATGCTTTTTTAACATTTTGAATGAGAGTTTTTAACATGTTATCGATTAGTATGAAAGGAAGACGACTTTCCAAACCTTTAAAATAAAATCTAAAATGAGTAGGTGAAGACGACAGCTCATGAACTATGGGTGCTGGGAGGGGAGAAATGGTTACAAGAAAACAAGATGTCAGATAAACAACTAAAGGTAAGATATTGAAACCTTAATACAGGGATGTTCTAAATAACTCGGAAAAATATTAATTGATTGATAACTTCAAAGTCGTCTTTGACCTGAGAAAAAGCTTGCCGCATAGGTAACTTGATTTTAGCAATATTGTTTTTATGAAGCAAAAATCACAAAAAAGCTCTTATTCTGCCATTTCCAGAATTCGTATCTGTCATAATTTTATGCTCTCAAAAATACCAGAGATAATAAGAATTTGGTTTGAATTTAATTTTGGACGAAATAATTCATACCTACGGTATTTGTGAAAGCACAAAAATGGCATATCGCATTTTGGCAATGGACTTTTATGTAATTATTGTTCTCTAATAATGTATTTCTAAATCAGGTTACCAATTTGCCGAATGCCGCAAACTATTTGTGAGGGTCAAAGGCGACTTTGCAGTTAATGTTATTAATCAATTTTTATTATTCCGGGTTATTTAGAACATCACTGTATATAAATGGTAAAGTATGGTTTAAAAAAAGGTCGACTTTTTACTGCAGGGTGTCCAAATAAGCATGGGAATTCAGTGACGAATTCCAATTCGATATCGTCTTTTAAATAATTCTTTGATTTTGTATAGTGATACCTACTGAGAAAGCTGTAATCTGGAAGAGTTTCGTCTGCTATGTTCATGGCTATGTTCACATTTTGTTTGTTTATGTTTTGACTGCATATAGTGTTGTACTCAGTAAAACAAGAAAATTCCAGTATACAAACAGAGTAAACTTGTCCGTCTACACTGTTCATCTTGCGGAGGCATTATAGACACATATTAACACTCTTTTGACCTTTTCATAAAATAAACTTTAGCAGACATAATAATATTATGGCTTTTGAAATTATATTACACTATAACAATGCTAATTCATAACAAAGACGATATCGAATTCGTCATTGAATTCCCATGTTTTTTGGGACACCCTGTACACAGTTGCAGTACACACAATGCTGGGGGATTGGTGTTTTTTTTAGATATGCATCCAAATTATTACAAAGCCATTCATAGAAAAAAAATATGATAGCTAGTTAAAACTATAAAAAAAACTTTAAATTCATTTGAATAAGAAACTAAACTTTTCTAAATAAGCGTTTTTAGTTTAAAACCTTGATCTAATATTAGTCGTTGAATTCTAGATAAATTCTTTTTCAAAGTTAAAATCCCAATATTTTAGGATGAATTAGATTTTTTGACAAGTTTCCCAGACCATTATCCGCCTAATATCATCCGCCCTTCATTAGGTAAGTATCCGCCTAATATCCTCTATTCATTAGGTAAATATTCGCCTTAAATCCGCCCATCATTAGGTAAATATCCGCCTAATGTCATCCACCCTTTAATTAGATAAATATTCGCCTCAAATCCGCTCTTCATTAGGTTAATATCAGTCTCGCATCATTCGCCCCTCATTAGGTAAATATCCGCCTCAAACCATCCCCCCTTTATTAGGTAAATATCTGGCATTTCAATTCATTCCGATTGAATAATGCTATTTTTTGTAGCATTTTCCCTCATCCTAATTTTTTGTAGCATTATTCCTCATCCTCATTTTTTTGTAGCATTTTTCCTCGTCATAATTATTTTTTGACGTATTTTTCCTCATCACAATTATTTTTTTTGTTGCATTTTTCCTCATCATATATATTTTTTATAGCATTTTTCCTCGTCATAAATATTTTTTTTGCATTTTCCTCATTATAAATATTTTTTGTAGCATTTTTCCTCATCATAAAAAATTTTTTTGTAGCATTTTTCCTCGTCATAATTATTTTTTGTAGCATTTTTCCTCGTAATAATATTTTTTTTGTAGCATTTTTCACCCTTTATAATTATTTTTTGTAAGAATCATCCGCCGCACGCACCTAAAAACGTTGCCGTGGATTCGGTCTTTGACCCGTTGTCTTCCAGGGAAAATGTGTTGAGAAACATATTTTTTTTGGTGGGGGGATATTGAAAAAAGAGAGGGCCGGGATCAATTATTACTTTTATAAAGAGGAGAGTAGAATATATAATCCTCGGACACAACTTTAAAAAATATTTATCTTTAGAAAGATAAATATATAGATAGTTCAAAGGGAAGAAAGAATGAATTGTATATATGGAATACAATGGCCGGCGTTTTATCAATACAATGAAAACGACTTAATTTCTATTATATGATTTTTTTCAAAATAAAAGTTTACAGCTGCACACAAAGAGAAGCTGTAAATTAACACCCCCTTTTTGTTTCCATGTTTATGTGTATCCATGCTTTCTTCTTTGTATTGACATTACGACGACGACTTTACAACAAATGGATGTTAAAGGGGAGGAATATGACGTGGAAGCAAAACAAATGATGGGTGACAGGATGACGGAAAGTGAATAGAAATAGGGAAAGGGATATTCTCTTGTTATTAGGTTTTTTATTTTATAATTTTTGCATTGTTCAGGATGCAGGAAATTGGTCTCTAGAACTCAGCATATGGTTTACCCTTGTATACGGTAGGTTTACTCTTGTATATGGTAGGTTTACTCTTATATATGGTAGGTTTACTCTTGTATACGGTAGGTTTACTCTTGTATACGGTAGGTTTACTCTTGTATACGGTAGGTTTACGCATGTATACGCCAGGTTTACGCATGTATACGCTAGGTTTACGCATGTATACGCTAGGTTTACGCCTGTTTACGGCATGTTTACTATTGTATACGGTAGGTTTTCTCTAGTATACGGTAGGTTTCCTCTTGTATATGGTAGGTTTACTCTTGTATACGGTAGGTTTACGCCTGATTACGTTAGGTTTACTCTTGTATACGGTAGGTTTACTCTTGTATAAAGTAGGTTTTCCCTTGTATAGGGTAGGTTTACTCATTTATTCTGTAGGTTTACTCTTGTATCTGGTAGGTTTACTCTTGTATACGGTAGGTTCACCCTTGTATACGGTAGGTTTACTCTTGTATACGGTAGGTTTACTCTTGTATACGGTAGGTTTACTCTTGTATACGTTAGGTTTGCTCTTGTATTCAGTAGGTTTACTCTTGTATACGGTAGGTTTGCTCTTGTATACTGTAGGTTTACTCTTGTATACGGTAGGTTTACTCATTTATACTGTAGGTTTACTCTTGTATCTGGTAGGTTTACTCTTGTATACTGTAGGTTTACTCTTGTTTAAGGTAGTCCTATTGAGTGTCTGCTTTATTAACCCGATGTCCGGGTATTACAGTAAAAGTTGACCCAGCTCGGAAATTCAAATGTACTATGGCTGCCCGTGTCGCCTACCACTGTAATACAGCTTTTTCAGGCCCAGGGTCATTAATATTGCTGAAATCATAGTTTTTGAAAAGCTAGACCTTTGATATCATGGTTTGAATTAATTTGAATTTGAAAGTATTAAAGATTAGATTAATCTAATATATATTAATAAAATGTTTCTAGGAATTCTCATAAATGACATAGTATCTTCTCTATTGATGAAAATATATCTTTACATAATTTATAAGACAATTTTAAAGATTTTAATTCAAAAAAGATCAATTTAACATATATTTATAAATCCATAACTATGTATATTTTGCTTTTGTTTTATCATAATATTGTACCATTTTACGCGTTTTGTCTACGAAATAAATCTATAATAATAATAATTATTCAAAAATAGCTAAAATGGACCATAAAAAATAATATGTAAAATTTCATTTTGAAATGGTATAAAGTTATAAAACCGATTGTGATTATAAAACTTTCTCTGTGCTTCAAAAAAGTATGAAATTGTTGTTTTTTGTCAAAGAATTTGAAGTTTCAAAAATCAAATGTATTTATCTCATTTTTAGATTTGTTGGGTTGTTTGTAAACATCTAAACGACTGAACCGATTGACACCCTTTTAGTGCCCTGAACGTATATTATGAAAACTCTTTCCTTATGACAAAATTGATACTTATATTTTACAACCTCTTCTTATTATGCAACCTTTTTTTCTTATATTTGCTATTTCTTAGTAGAACAAATATATAGCATTCCGCGTTGCAAATATTCATATACTAGGCTTTTAGGATGCTTCGGCCTTATATTTTCAGGACTAATTTTTTTTACAAAAGTCTTTAAGTCTTTTTACAAAAGACTATTCTTTTTGACTCAAAGAAGTTCGTAGTAAGATTTCGATTCTACTGGAGACCACCGGAGGGATTTTATTTTCACTGGAGGGGTTTCAAAAAATGCTTTATACAATTTAAAACTTTACGCAGGGTGNTTTATATTTATTTATAGTTTATATTTTGTGAAAATTAAGAGAGAAAAAAGGTGCCGAATATATAATTATAATATAAAATCATTTTTTGAAGTTTTGAAAAATGTTTTTTTTTTATATTTTGATATGTTAAGGAATGATTTACGAGACTGGCAAGATGAAACTAGGATTAAGGTACATTAGTTCTAAATACAGAAAACCAGCCAATTTCTAGATTTGTCATTTATTTTTCATTTTAATTCATTTATTTAAGTAAAAGTAAACTGTTGAACGATTTCCTTATTCAAGATTTTTTTATTCTCATTTAATAAACACTCTAAATAATGCCCAAAATACTAAAAGAATAAGGTTGAATAGACAATCATTATTTTGTAATATTAAATATTTGGTTTCTAGGCAGCTCAACTACTCTACGTAATATCAAATATTTGGTTTCTAGGCAGCTCAACTACTCTACGTAATATTAAATATTTGGTTTCTAGGCAGCTCAACTACTCTACGTAATATCAAATGTTTGGTTTCTAGGCAGCTCAACTACTCTACGTAATATTAAATATTTGGTTTCTAGGCAGATCAACTACTCTGCGTAATATTAAATATTTGGTTTCTAGGCAGCTCTACTACTCTACGTAATATTAAATGTTTGGTTTCTAGGCAGCTCAACTACTCTACGTAATATTAAATATTTGGTTTCTAGGCAGCTCAACTACTCTACGTAATATTAAATATTTGGTTTCTAGGCAGCTCAACTACTCTACGTAATGATTCACCATGCTGAAAATGAGGTATAGTGCAGGTTTTATACAAATTTAGTAATAATTGCTGTATAGTCAGTTAGTCAGCTACACGTTCTGTCGTATTAGATGAGTTTTTACCATTGAAAGATGATGTTGAAAGTTTCAAGACTACATTCAAGATTGCAAGTAGTCCAATTGATATAGCATCGAAATGGAATCTTTTAAATGTCGTCTTTTATCGCTCAACAGCTTCTTGGTAATTTATTTATAGCTGAACATTTTTTTTTATTTTAAACATGGGTTTTCTTTCAAAGTGACCTGCGGATTTTAGTAAAGAGACGATGGAGGAAATTGTGAGAATTTATTCCTTTCAAGTTAGAAAAACGACTATATGTAAGCTTTCTTATAATAATTATACTCAGACATGCAACTCAATGAATTAAAGGTGACTAGAAACAATGTTAGACACATACTTTTAGGAAATAAAAAAAAAAGTTTTAGGAAATAAAAATTTACATTTTCATTTCTTTTGTCCAGGTTCTAATGCATGCCGACAAGGTGTTGGAGTGTATAACAACGTGCTTAAAAGATGAAAATAAGGACGTATGTATAAAATTTAGTTGCTCAGAAATTAAAAGTTTTTTGTAAACGCTAATCAATGCAGTGCTAACAACTTTAAATTATAAATATTTCTAGTTCATCTTTACTTTCCAAATTGGGTGAGATATTAGAAAATTAAGAAACTAATAAAAATGATTCAACGGCATTAAGTCTTTGTTTCAATATCTGGTTTTTTAATTCCTGTATCTTTGCAACCCAAAGTCGCAGGCCAGATATTTCAAACCATGAAGAAGTTAGGTCAACTAATCAAAGTTTGAGTTCGCATGGCATAGACTCAATTTCTTTTACAAATTTTATAAAATTAGAAATGAATTACATTTGAGATAAATGTGCATACTAATATTATTTTGCACAAATGAATTGCAAGTCTTCCAAATATTACTTTATCTTGGAGTTCCTTTTTTCAATCTTTTGCTGATTGTTAATTGGATATCAAGTTCCAATTATGTAAAGAAAACATGAAGTACGAAAAAAGACTATAAAAAAGAAATTTCTTTACGATATTATACACTTAGATCATGGCGAGGGTAGGAAGGCCAGACACAACAATTTCTAGTCCGAGCCACATTCTCCTCATTTTCTCGTCCAAGTCACCTCAAAATCCTCGTCCTTCCAATATTATTTTTCTTAAGTGTCTAATCCTCCAAGATAAAACTTTTTTTGTGAAGCATCGGGCCAAGTCAATGAATAAAATATTGAATTTTTGTAAATCGAAAAAATAGTTTCATTTATGTTTTGAGTTCAATGTCCTTGAAAATGTTCCCCTTTTTTACGCTCATTTCCAGATATTCCTGGTGTAGAAGGATGCAAATACTTCTGGGTTAAAAGAACGATTTAATCTTTTTTTGTTAATTATAGCGAAAACCACAGAATTTTTCCAGGTGGTTCCATGGGGAAAATGATAGCTCTTTAAGCAGCCATTTTTATTTCGTGGAATTTTCTGTTTAAGTTGAGTCGGGATTTTGTTCCGGGTAAAAATTCGTCATCTTTAGTCACAAACTGGGACTGGGTAACGTACACATAAGTTGTCATAAAAAATTTGTGCCCGATCGGTTCAGCCGTCTTGACGTTTTTTTGGATACAAACAGACTGACAATCGAAATCTCACTTTGTATTTTTTATATCACCAATTGATTCTCATAGTTTGAAAACTGTAATTCAAGAAAAAGATATTTCAAATATTTGTACTTTGTATTGCCCTGTAAATTGTCGTCTCAAAATTCGAATTAACTAGGAAACCTTTCTCCCCAGGTGAATGAGTATGGTGTGTTGACCGGCAAAATGCTTGGATTCATGATAGAACCTAACATCTGGACACCCCTTGTACTACAGAGTGTACATGAATCCCCTACCGCACCTCATGTACAAGGTATAATCTGGGCACCCCTTGTACGTACTGCAGAATGTACAAAAATCCCCTACTACACCTCATGTACACGGTATAATCTGGACACCCCTTGAACTTCAGAGTGTACAAGAATCCTCTATTGCACCTCTTGAACAAGGTATTATCTTGACACCCCTTTTACTTCAGAGTGAAAATGAACCCTCTACTGCACCTCATGTACAGGGTATAATCTGTACACCCCTTGAACTGCAGAGTGTTCAAGATTCCCCTACTGCACCTCATGTACAAGGTATAATCTATACACACCCTGAACTGCGGAGTGTACAAGAATCCCCTGCTGCACCTCATGTACAAGGTATAATCTGGACACCCCTTGAGCTGCAGAGTGTACAAGAATAGAATCCCTTACTTCACCTAATGTACAAGGTATAATCTTTACACCCCTTGAACTTAGAGTGTACATTAACCCTCTACTGCACCTCATGTACAAGGTATAATCTGGACACCTCTCGTACTACAGAGTATACACAAACCCTCAACTGCACCTCATGTACAAGGTATAATCTGAACACCCCTTGAACTTCAGAGTGTACATGTTTCCTCTAATGTACACTTCTATAACCTCGTTGTGTAGACTAGATATATCTTCTTATTCTAAACGGAAAGACCATAACAAAATTGTACAGATAGAAGAGCAAAAAACGGCCATAAATGTCAAATTGAACCCCCCCCCCCCCCCCTCCCAGCATTATTCTAAGTCGTGTTTTAATTGTTTTGTTTAATAGGACACTTTTTATACAATAGGACATACTTTATACAATAGGACGCACTTTATACAATAGGCCGCACTTTATACAATAGAACACACTTTATACAATAGGACACACTTTATACAATAGGACGCACTTTATACAATAGGACACACTTTATGCAATATAACACACTTTATACAATAGGACACACTTTATACTATAGGACACACTTTATACAATAGGACACACTTTATACAATAGAACACACTTTATACTATAGGACACATTTTATACAATAGGACACCTTTATACAATAGGACACACTTTATAATGCATTATATCAAATGTAAACTTTGAGTAATTTTCAAATGTCTTTTATATTTCAGTAATCTGTAGTCTTGTTTCTGGATCAAAGAGGGAAGCTTTAAGACCCTGTCTTGAGGATATATGTTTCAGGTACTTAAAGAAAGCTCAAATTAGCGAAATGTCGTCTTCATTGTCTGCTTTTTCGTTCATTGGAAATACTCACCCCGGATTAACCAGAGTGAGCAGCATTCGGTTTCTTCTATTTGAAATTAAACGTATTTTGGTTTATAATTCAACAATCTTTTACCTTACAGATTTGTTTATCTTATACTTTTTCATTCAAAGTGCATATGCGCGACAAAAAAGTATTCAAGAAAAAAGGCTAAAAAATTATGTTTAATGGGTCAAATTTTGATCGAAAGTCACAGCTTTCTGGAATATTGACAGAACCGTTAAATCCACGTATACTGCATAGGGATTTTGTATTAAGTAACCGCGTTTCAGTTCTAAAACTGTGCTCTGAGTTTAGAATTATTTGGAAGTAAAGGTCACTCTGAGATAAAAAACTTATATAATGATTATATTGATTAGATTGTAACTTGATATTTTATCTACAGAGCGTCCCATATTATATTAGATTATCTCCAATCTTTAACGTAAAAATACGCACATAATACTCGAAAAATCTAGCATTTTCTGCAAGAAAAATTTTCTATTATACAGAGGTTGTATTTCGATTTATTACTGAAGAATACAGAGGTTGTATCTCGATTGATAGATACTTGAGAATACAGAAGGAATTATACCTGGATTGGTACAGACTTAAAAGAAACTATTGGAGTAAGGCATTTGTTACATGTGTAAGTATTTAACAGCTTGCTCTAGCAGCTGAGAAGCCGGCCATGGAAAAAAACGGATTTTCTAGTGAGGTATTGTTTAGGTAGTATCAATTACGTAAAATTCCCCTCTGAACCATTTTGTAAACATTATCAATACTTTCAACCGTCAATTACTTGCAAGTTAGTGCAAAACGCATTAATCTTTTTGCATCAATGTTGTTAAAAATGAAATCTTGCAGTTTTTATAGAGAGCCAATATAAAGTTTCTGTAATCTGTAAGCACAGAAGTTAAAGAAAATGGTAATAATAATAATAATTATGATAATTTATAATCTTTTATGAGATCTAGGTTTGTGATCAAGACCATGTCAAGAAAATTTCCGTGGCTTTTCCAAATTCTCCAATCAAAATATGAGGCAAATCGGTCACAGGGTGTATGAGTTATGATCGGACAAGACGACTGTACGGAGTTAATCTAGTTATTTATCTATAGTTAATAGTTATAATCATACAAATGCAGTTCCCTGTATTTGCAAACTAGATTGTTTCTTCGTCAAATCATTTTACAAATCATTCTACTCCTAGTCTTTTTACGGCTTATTGAATGAAAAGCCTAAAAATGAAAAAAGTTTACAGGAACTCACGGTAACTTTGTATTGCTTATACAACCTTCTGAATTAATGTGGTTAATACGCATAGATATATTCTAATACGCTTAAACTTAATCCCTTGACCAGACACTCCCTTCCTCCCCCAACCGCCCCCCCCCATACCAACTAATGTTATCTAAATTACAGTAGAAAAGGGTGTATCTACGTTTCAAATTAATAATATTACAATTACAGTATTGTGAATAAATATTTAAACATACAAAAATAAATATGGAAATGCACGAATGTTAGAATTTATGTATGGAATCGCTTATCGCAATTTAGTCTCTATAAACAAAAATAACAAAAACATTGTTCTGACAAATATAAACTGAGCTGAGCTGAAAACTTGTTTTATAATGCATTTTTTTTAATCTGTTATGCCTGTTTTCCGCATTTTTAAGAATTTTGATAAAAATTTAAATAAGATGAAAAAACAAATGACTTAAAAGATCCATAAAACCTAGAGAAAAATATATTTCGAACATTGTTCATAATGTTAAAAAAATGGATCTAAAATCAAAATATTTTTTCCTCAAAACTTCTCAAGCCTTAACTGTGTTACCTGCACTTACGTCATAGATTTGACCACTATAGCGGCCTCTCTGTTGGATAAGTTGACCGCGTAGCTGGAGATTTTACCGCTAGCTATATATAAACCAGGAGGTAGAACTAGTATTCATCAGTTTACAGAGACAACCCTGACAATAATCAACATGCAGATCAATATTCTCACTCTTCTCTTCTTTGTAAGTATTAATTCTTAATTCATTATTTACAAAAAATAATTTCTAGAATTCTAATTTATTTTTATTGGCAAAGATATTATTTAATATTATCCGTATTTTTTCTCAGATTTCTCTTAAAAACACTTCCTACAAACCCTGAAACCATTTATACGTGCCTACATCGTAACTATCCAATTTATCTTTAACATTATTCTATATTATTATCTGATTATAGATGGGAACTCTTGTATTGTGGATATCGAGATCAATGTTTGATTCTCTAACTTTTGTTAATCTGCAGATTAATTTCATCTTTTAGTTTTTTCAATATCCCGCAATCGCATGGTGATCTCACTCTAGAGGAATAGCCGAAATTAAGATCATCAAATTTAAAGTGTCCACGATGGATATCAAGATCAAGCGATCAGGATGATTAGTATTCAAATGTTTCCAGCTCAATTTAATTTTCTGATCATTATTTTTTCATAGGTTTTGAGTGTGCTTGGTTTTGGAGTAATGGCTGCTCCGAGTCCAGGATGGGGAGGTGGCCATGGAGGAGGACACCGTGGTGGACATCATGGAGGTCATCATGGAGGCGGACATCATGGTGGAGGACACCACGGAGGCTGGGGAAAATAAATTTCAGCAACCACATCAGCTGAGGACTCAGTGCCAATTTAAATATTATATATTTCATTTTCATGTAATGAAAAATAAATTTCAAATTTCTTTAATATTGTTACTTGTTTTGCATATATTATATTCTCTGAATCAATTATTTTTAGTTTCTTTAAAGTGGCTCTTAAAAAAATGGTTTCCCCACCTCGCATAGTTTAACTGTAATGCTTACCCCACCTCGCAGGAATAATAAAGAAAATCAATGTTTAAATGTCGTCGTCGTATATTTCTGATATTCTCTCGGCCAAGTGTTTGTTCTGTCTGGATGATGTGGGAACTAAGTAAAACTTCTGGAATGATTCACATTTTGGTTAATTTTTATAAGTTAAGTGGGTTTCACTTTTATAGCGAAATTTTAGTTACCATGCAAAGTCGGGTTCCCAACCTAGTGTGAAAACAAATTCTAAAAATATTTTACAATTATGTGTTTTTGCTTTTGACGGTTGTTTGTTCCTACAATACAACCAGAGATGGACAATAATTTGGTTTTATTTCTAAGACTTTTAGCAAAAAGTAAAGAAAGAAAATGTTTATTGTTTAGAATACACAATTTAGAAATTTGTAAACAAATTTTTATGGAACCTTTTAAGTCTAAAAACCCTTAAAACTTAAAAAGAATAAAGTTATTACCCATCAATATACCCACAACAATCCTTTTAATGTCAGAAATATGATAACCTGGTGTCTGTTGATCTTCATGCATATTTAAAAAAAAGGTTAACATCATTTTAAAATGTAAATTGTCAAAAAAAAGTTTTAATGATCATTGGATACAGACAGACATGCAACACAAATTTATATGCTCGAGTAAGATTTCTTCTGGTAATTTTGAAAATTAAACATAAAAAAAGGAATTTTAGACAAATGCATTAAAAAATTAGAAAGTTTTATTTGACTCATCAAACTAAAATAAACTAAAACTAATGATATATATTTCTTTAACAGTATTGAGAAAAATGAATTAGCTGAAACATCCAATATTAGTTTGAAATCATTTATTAGAATACATTAACACAGCCTCTTTGTTTTTTAAACTTTTCCTAGATACATCGTTATTTACTACATCTTTTGGCAGAGTCAAAATTTAGCATAATTCAATAAAAGCACAATACAATTTTGAGAAATAGAAACCCAAAAACAACATTGTAAAACCTCAAAATAATTCAAATTTTTTTAAAACAGCTCAAAAAACATTTTCTATCTCTGCTCTAATGACATTTTTTGAAAATAAATAAATCTAGGGGGTTTAACTTCAAATAAAATAAAAAATTGGAGCTTTTTATGACAGCAAAAATATCTAGGGCATATTTTCATAGAAGAAATAGTAGTTACACATTAAATTAATATTATTTTTTGAATTTTGTGTTTTTTTTGCTAAAAATGTTTCTCATTTTTTCTGATTAAAAAATTAAAATTTTTTTTTCATATTTTAGTTTGTCTGCTTCTGATGTATGTAGACAGCAGGGTGTTGAATACCAGACTGTACTTGTCCAAACAGCTCTACAAATACTCAGGTATACTGGTACATTAAAACTGACGTTGTATATATAGACCTCATGCGACGTTGTATTAACGTTGGCTAGACCTCATGCGACGTTGTTTTGACGTTGGCTAGACCTGCAGGCGGCATTGTACCGACGTTGGCTAGACCTCAGTCAACGTTATATTTACTTTGGTTAGACCTCAGGCGACGTTGTAATGACGTTGGCTAGACCTCAGGCAACATTGTATTAAGGTGGGCTAGACCTCAGGCAAAGTTGTATTAACGTTGGCAAGACCTCAGGCTACATTGTATTGACGTTGGCAAGACCTCAGGCACACATTGTATTGAGGTTGGCTAGACCTCAGGCAACGTTGTATTAACGTTGGCAATACCTCAGGCTACATTGTATTGACGTTGGCTAGACCTCAGGCAACATTGTATTGACGTTGGTTAGACCTCAGGCAACGTTGTATTGACGTTGGCTAGACCTCAGGCAATGTTGTATTAACGTTGGTTAGACCTCAGGCAACATTGTATTGACGTTGGCTAGACCTCAGGCAATGTTGTATTGACGTTGGCTAGACCTCAGGCGATATTGTACTGAAGTTGGCTAGACCTCAGGCAACGTTGTATTAACTGAATTTGGCGAACTCAAGTGATGTTTACTGACATTGGCGAACTCAAGTGTTGTTTACTGACTTTGGAGTACTCAAGTAATGTTTACTGACGTTGGCGAACTCAAGTGATGTTTACTGACGTTGGCGAACTCAAGTGATGTTTACTGACGTTGGAGAACTCAAGTGATGTTTACTGACGTTGGCTAGAGGAGTGGACCATTTTCAGCTTGATTTGGATCCGCTTTGAGAAAAAAAGCCGTATTTAAATATAATAGAATATATAATAATAGATTTTAATTAATTTTTGACTGAAAGTTTTGTTTAATTTGTTCTCCTTTATTTTCTTTCTGCAACTGTAAAATATTTGGAACACCAATATTTTTTCTTATCAAGCTTTTTTAACTATCAAGTTTATTTTTTTAATAATATGAATAAAATGTCAAAAATAAAACATAAAACAATTAAAAATAATTAATTTGCTTGTTCTGAGTCACCATGCATTAGACAAAGGTTAGATTCATGCGATATTACTGGCACAACTTTGTGACTTTGTAGTTTCTCTAGTTTTGATTTTATGCAAAATAATTATATAAGCAAGTTTATTAGGTTTCATATAAAAAATTAAAACTTTTTTGTTGTTTTTAATCGCTGCTCATTAAGACCTGAGTTAAGATTGAAGACGTTTAAGATTTCAATCTTACACGCGAATTACTTTAGTCTGACATGGAGTAGATAATTAATCTTTTAATCTTATAATTTAGAGTGAGCAAAGAAGATTGTGCAGAGAGCTCTGGGGCCCTTTTTAGATTGCTCATCTCTGTAATAGGTAAAAATTGTTGACTTGTCACTGCGGCTAGGACAGGCTTATACAAGTATGGTTGGACATGTTTAGATTAAGCAGAACAATTTGCGAAAGTCAATGGTCTTAAAATAAACATTGGTTAAAGGAATCTTTAGTTAATTTGTCATTTGTTAACTGGACGTTGCCCGATCCTACTTACATACAAGTTATAATCTAAATAATACTAATCACTAGAATCTCCCTGGAAGAGGATGATTCATTTAGTGGCCTAATAATATGTATTTATATAATCGTATATGTGTACTGTAATTCTTTCTCTAGCAGCGTAAAAGTCGGCCTGGTACTTGAACTGAACCTGAGTTTACAGTGTTTTATGAACATAAACACAAATATCAATTCTTAAAACTAATATTTTTCGAGTTTAATACAAGTAGTTTGTAAAAAACTAGTCTTACAGGGTGCCGTGCTTCGCGCACATCTTCTTTTTCTCTTTTTATACATTGTAAAACAAAAACAAACATAAAAAATTTGACTTTTATTGGAAACAATCAAACAAAAAGACAGACAAGCAAAGTTGTTGACCATCAATACAACTTCTAAATTGGATGGATTTTTGATAATATTAATTTTTGCAAACTCTTGAATTGAAAAAAAATTATAAGAATTAGAATCAAAGCCTATTTATAATTTGAATATATTTGAAAAGAGGATTAAACTTATTGTTTGGATTGAATTAAAGAATTACACAGATAAGATGAGATTTAATATTTCAATATTGTTCTAGAATTTTTTATACAAAGTAATTAAACACTTTTTATTTCTGACTAATCCGCTCGTTTTCTCTCTTTTTGGATATCACCACTTTGTTTCGACCAATTATAAATTTCCCTGCTTCTCATACACCGCCCTAAATTTTATACATTTTTAGGATCAAACATCAATCTCAATATCCACAATTCTAAAGATTCAGCTCTTGGTACTTATTTTATAGATTGTCTCAGATTCCGATGGTCTTTTACTCCAATCTGATGAAAATTTGAATTTTTGTACAAAAGAATTTACTTTGCCGCAATTTACTGAAAAGAAGATCGACCGTACGTAACCCTATTTCTTAACAAAACATATGAAGTGGTGTGTCCGATTCCAAACAGTACCCTTTAAACCTTTGGCTGAGCAAGGACGACAGACTTATCCATATCTACGTACAGAAAAACTTGAAAACTTAGTTTGAAAGCTGTTTTGTAAAAGATATGTAAAAATTTACTTTCCAGAAGTCACAAAAAATAAATATTTTCATTTATGTCGAGTCAGCTGTGTCAAATTCACACTGTATGCTACATTTTACCAACATTTAAGAGATGAACACGTGAATTCTCTGCCCTTGATGATCCTTCAAAGGTTGAAAGAGTACCGTTGTAAATTGGACATTCTTCTTTGCATGTAGGGACACTTACGCTAATGAACCCTTTAAAGGGAGTACATTCAAAGAAAATAAAAAATTCAATTTAATAATGAAAACGAAATAATCGATTCTAGCATTGATTTATTGACAAATTTCTTTTGAGAAATGTATTCCTAACCATCCAATTAGATTATTGTATGATTTTTATTTTATTTTTTCGTTGTCGTTATTTAATAATTTTAAAAAACTAATTCTGAAAACGTATCCACCCCCAAAGTAGGAGTTTTGAACGTCGAATTTGCGCTCAAACTCAGGATTTGCATATCTTTAAAAAGTGTTATTTGTCTCAAATGAATCCAAAAGAAGTTTTCCACAACACTGCATACTCAGTTCAACTACCTTACATAGCCAGTCACTCCCTTTAACAAAATCTATTGAATAGAATCATCTATTGAGTGAGTTTAAGTTATTCAGAATTCCTTTAATTAATTCAATAAGAATATTTTTAACAAAAGATATCTCTATAATGATTATCTTTGCTCTTATATCTTTGTATGTTAGTTATAACTGGCCAAACGGCTGGACCGAATGAGCAGAATTTTTCTAGGGAACCCTGGGCGTAACATAGACTAAAACAATTAGATTTTTTTAAATATTTGATTCTTAAAAAATTCAACAGGCAATACCACGCACTTCAGCTAGTTTTTCATAAATTACAAATTTGAAAAAAAAATTTACAAGATAATTATTAATGTGATGAAAGGATGTATCAATGTATCTTAGAGTGTGTTGAAACTAATAATATCCGACTAGCGGGTCAGGAAGTATATATTAATGTATCTTAGAGTGTGTTGAAACTAATAATATCCAACTAGCTGGTCAGGAAGTATATATTAATGTATCTAGGGTGTGCTGAGACTAATAATATCCAACTAGTTGGCTAGGAAGTATATATTAATGTATCTAGGGTGTGCTGAGACTAATAATATCCAACTAGCTGGTCAGGAAATATATATTAATGTATCTATGGTGTGCTGAGACTAATAATATCCAACTAGTTGGCTAGGAAGTATATATTAATGTATCTAGGGTGTGCAGAGACTAATAATATCCGATTAGCTGGCCAGGAAGTATATATTAATGTTTCCAGTGTGTGCAGAGACTAATAATATCCAACTAGCGTGCCAGGAAGTATATATTAATGTATCTAGGGTGTGCTGAGACTAATAATATCCAACTAGCTGGCCAGGAAGTATATATTAATGTATCTAGGGTGTGCTGAGACTAATAATATCCAACTAGTTGGCTAGGAAGTATATATTAATGTATCTAGGGTGTGCTGAGACTAATAATATCCAACTAGCTGGCCAGGAAGTATATATTAATGTATCTAGGGTGTGCTGAGACTAATAATATCCGATTAGCTGGCCAGGAAGGAATGCATGAACTGTCAGTTCTCTGTTCCTATCAAAACACCCATGAACTCTACAAGTGTAATATGGGTGTTCTTCTAAAGGTATAATAATAATTAAATAGTAGTTGAATTAAACACGGCCACTAGCCGGGTTCACCTAATTTTGACACTGATGCTGCATTGATCAAGACAGTTTGTTCAATTTGATTTTTGCGACGCTAAAAAGTAGTTGAAATGGGCTACTAATTCATGTTTAGAAATTACCAATTTGTTAAAGATGGGGATGGGCTTTTGTGGAGGTTTAAAGGGACAGACCGGCTATGTAAGGTAGTTAAACTGAGTATGCAGTGTTGTGGACAAATTCTTTAGGATTCATTTGAGACATAAAAAAACTTTTTAAAGATTTTTAAATCCTGAGTACTTTTGGGTGGATACGTTTTCAGAATTGCTTTTTTAAATTATAAAATAACAACGACAAAAATGTAAACAAAACTCTACATTAAGTTAATTAGTTGTTTAGGGACAGGTTGAGAAAATAAAAATTAACTCTTATCATCGAAAATAAGTAATCTTATTCAATATTTAGTTTCTTATAATCTCTCTATAATCACACAGATTTTCTGCAGATTTTCTGGATTTTTTATTAAAAGACGGCATTTGAAGAATTTGAGGAAATCTGCGAACAAGTTCATAAAAAATAAGAAATTCAATAAAATTATGGAAAAGGAAATAGTTAATTCTAACTTCGATTGTATGACAAACTTCTTTTGAGAAATATGTTCCTAAACATCTAATTAGTTTACTATAGAATCTTTACTATATTTTTCGTCGTCGTTATTTAATAATTTAAAAAAAAAACCGATTCTGAAAACGTACCCACCCAAATTCATGATTTAAACGTCGACTTTGCGCTCATACTCAGTAATTATACATCGTGGAAACGTTTTATATGTCTCAAATGAATCCTAACGAATTTGTCCACAACACTATACTCAGTTCAACTACCTTACATAGCCGGTTTGTCCCTTTAAGAGTAAAAGAAAAAAGCAAGGCCAACAGCAATTCAATTATTCAATTATTTACTATTTTTGAATTGATATATATGTTTATCACCTGTCTTAAAAAATTGATAAGAGAAAATAAGTTTATACCTTGCATATCTTGTTGGTCTAAGACATTTTGTTGACACTCCACACTATTTGATTTAGTCTATTTGGTAACAGATCCAACATAATTCTTCAGAGGGGGGAACCTCTTTTATTTTGAATATAGAGATTAATGCTTTATCTCGATATTTTATAAATCTGCAGATTACTTTAAATCTTTATTTGGTATCCCGGAAATGGCAGAAAACGAACAGCCAATAAGAAGCCGAGGAATTTTGCGTTAAACCAATGAGAAAACAGAGAAAGTAGGAATATCCAAAATCAAGAGATTATTCAGCTTCTCCGTAAAATTCAAAAGTGCTTACTGTAGAGATTGAGGCTGGTATCCAACACATAATGTTCCAGCTCAGTCCAATGAAGGTTATCATATCAAATTGTGTCCACCAATATTTTAATTAGTCTGCAGCCCTGAAGTGTCAAGCCTCTTTTTTATTAATTTAAATTTCGTATTTTCTGAAAGGAGCTGCAGGGTACTGTTGAAAACTGGTCAAAAACAAGCTTTGACAAAATGATATTTGAAGCTTTGATGCATGAAAGTGGTCCAGCAGTAGGTAATATAAAAATAGACTTGTAAACTATAGTCCCGTAGGCTGGATCAGAAAGGGAAGGTATACCTCAACATTTTTCTGTTCGAACGCACCACAGATGACGTCAGTGTCACAACTCACCATTATTTCTTCCGCCCACGCACCTTTCTGCTGTTTACTCCTAAACTTCAACTTTTAGGTAATATTGGGCTGTGGAAGTTTTAATATTTACAGTAAAAAAATACATTTTTTAGTAGGGAGCATAGCAATTGGTTTTGATTTGCTTATGAAAAAAATTCTTCTTTAAGATAAACAGATTTAAATATTTCATACCATTATAAACAACATGACGTGGCTCAAATTCAAATTAAATAATTTAAAGTTCCTTAAAAAAGAATTTAAAAAATGAAGGACGAAAATAGGTGTGGTCGGACGAAAAAATGCTAGGTTTTGACGTCATTTGTGGTCGTACGAAAAAATGGCGTGGTGTGCCTTCCCTTCCTCCCTGTATAATATGTGAACACTAACAAGTCCTGGTCCAGTTTTCTTTTTTTCCAGGATACTACACAGACAAAGTAGTTTTCATCATGCAGCATGCATCTCTGGAAACCTGGGATGCCGAGACTAGATTAAATATGTTTATTCTTCTCTCCATGATGATGCTCAATCTGAAGAATACCTTTGATTCACAGGGAATCTTTTGTGATTATGTGAAGGGTAAGCAATTTGAAAAACTGCCGAAATTCAAATATATAATAATTTTGTCGACATTTGCAGATTTGTTCAATATTTGAATTTATCTGAATTTTATTTAAACAATTTCAGTTTTGATTGTTAAAATTACGAGGGTGTATATTGTGTAGAGTTTTAAATTTATCAAATGTCAAATTATATTATGTCGGATCAACGTCAGTTATACGCAGGATTCAAGAAATGCGTTTCTGAGCGTTTGTTATCCGAAGATTTTTGATGTATTTTTTTTTCTGGCCAAAATTGATTTGCTTAATATTTTATTGCTTTTAATGGTTAATTCCTTATTTTTTTTTTACCACCACTATTTGATAAAGTCATGTTTTGATATCAATTTAATATGTTGTCAATTATTTCCTTAAATTTTTCACTTGAACAGTTTTTGAACCAGTTGTTAATTTCTTGACAGATGACGTGGAAGGATAAAGACAATTGCATCATGTATTATAGATTAATTGCATCATGTTATGTTGATGATATTATCCTACCCTCCCTGCAATGAAGGGCAGATCATCTTAAATATAATTTCTAGGATTTGTTGATGATATTATCCTACCTTCCCTGCAATGGAGGAATGGAAGATCTGAAATGGCAATTAGATCAGCGGCCACGTCGTCTTTACTTTGTGTTATAACTGCACTCATAGCTGATCAAGACAAACAAGGAACCTTGGACATCATAGGTATATTTCTCATAGATCACGAGTTCAAATAAAAAACTTTTAAAAACCCTGTTAACAGAATTAAAAGTTAAAATATTAGTTAACAACTAACGGTTACTTGATAAGCCTGTCCGTTCCATTAGTTTATCTAATCGTTAACGAACGAAGTGAAAAACGTTTGAATTTGCTTAAAATTTATATTTATGTTTTAGTTGACATTGCAGAGAAAGCTCAGAGCCGACTGGGTGGTTTGATAAACGATGATTGTGAAAAGACCCGGAAGATGGCTCTGGAAGCGGTAACAAAAATGTTGTCCTATCTTCATCTCAAACTAGCGAACTCAATATTTACAGATAAAACCCTTCTGAGTTATATATCTGCACTGCATGGCAGATTAGGAAAGCAAGATATTACTGAATTTAACTTTTCTTACCAAAACTTTGTTCCATGAATTTATGAAATACTCAAATAATTTTTTCTCGCTAAATGTCTCACAAAGATCCAGTCTGCTACAGTCGTATGCGCATTTATCAATACAATGAAGACGACTTTAAATTTAAATTTTGATTTATATAAAAATTTTAAGCAGTGTGGATACACAAAAACATGGAAACAAAGAGAAACTGTCAATTAAAAAAGCTTCTCTTAAATTATTTAAAAATTGTAATTTAAAAAAAGCTTGGTCTCTATCAAAACTTAAATAAGTAGTCGTCTTCATTGTTTTGATGTATTCGCCTGAAATTTTTTCTTAAAACCTGGGTCGATTTTGAAGTGTTACAACGCCTCATGGCCTTAGATTTGGTTTTCAAGAATTAAATGTCAAAATTCTCATCGGTTCTGCATGATAACTTTTACATAATTGTTTGCCTGGTCCCCTTTCACCCTAAAATCTGATCTTTAAGCGCGCTTTGCATCCCTTTTTCTAGTAATAAGTCTTGTTTTAAATATTGCTTTACCAACAAAATATTTTCTTTGTAAAATTTCACATTTTTAGAATATTTTCGTGATCTTTACACATTCTGTTATTTTTTACAAATTTTGTAAGCCTTACATTTTCTTTCTAAACCTTGGAATTTCTCCGAAATATATAAATGAATTCGGCTTCTTTAATTGTCTGTTTGTCTGTATCTAATAAACGTGAACACACCTGAACCCAATACACGCTTAAACTGTTACTAGAAGAGGTGCACGAAGCGCCCTGAAAGCCTAGCATTATGTTTAATACCTATATGCTGCTGGTGTAGAAAATGACAGTTTTCTAATCATGAAAGTATCTTCAAGATGTTCTCTTGCCCTGCTCAATTATATTTCAAACTTACAGGTAAAATCTCATTTTCAGACAGACATTTTATTTTTATTATTATTATTATTATTATTAATATTATTATTATTATATTCTCTGAATCAATTATTTTTATTATTAGGATGTTGGAGACTGTGTATGGATAAAAAGTAAAGGATTGTTATCAGATTTAATCCTTCACATGGATAATAAAAATGTTAGTTAAACTGTTTTATAATAATGCCAATTATAAAGTGGCATTGGCACAAACAGTGCCCGTTAATTAAAAGCAAAAATTGCATGAGTGCTTATGTTTTTTAAGCTGCAAATTTACTATTTTTAATTGTAGTTTCTTTATTTTGTATTATGCGGTAAAAACAGTTAATAAAATTGCCAGAATTTAACCTTTTTTGAAAAAATGACAATATTTTCCTAACTTTGACTCTTTTAACTTATTTCAACCAATTGTAACATTACTAAATTATTTTGTAGGAACTAGATGTACGTACTTAAACCCAATCTAACTATAAATTAACCTTTTTTTCGCATTCATAAATTTCCATCTCGGCTCAGTTTATACTTTTTCAAATTCAAAAAGTTTTTTTACTCATGGTATTTATTATTTCATTTTTAAAAGGATTAGAAAGATAATTTTTTATAATTTATCTTAACTGAATTAATGAAGTAGAATTTGTGCTATTTTTCCCGGTTGAACCCAGCTTATATTACAGGAAGAAGTTCGAAGAGAGATGTTTACTGTTTTACAGAAAACTCCAGATAAACTCAGGTTACTTCTATTAATACTTACTTTTTATCAAAAAGTATTCAAGGAAAATAAACAGGTTTATTAGCAAAAAACGTAAAAATCCCATTTTTATGATTTTATAATTTTTTCTCTTATTTAAAATAATTTTTTTTTATGGGGGGCGGGAATTCTAAAAATCAAAAATCCCTGATTGGATGTGTTTTCAGGCCTCTGCTTGTTGAAACCTTGAAGAGGGGGGCTGAGGTGCACTGTTATAAGAAGGAGTGCTTGAATCTTCTCAGTATATTAGATGTAGAGGAGTAGTTCAAGGAATTCACAACGCAGCCCGACTTCTGCTTGACCTGCATTTAAAGATATGCTCTCAGTTGGGCCATCCTGCTTAAGAGAGCCATGATAACAAAAAAATCTATTTTTTTTTGAAAATTAATAGAATACTTTGATCGTCTTTGGTTCACGTGACATTTATACGATCACAAATATAGAAATATTCAAATTAAAATGTACAGTCTGTGGATTTTCGAAATGTGGTCGTCCATTTTTGTTCAGAGCTGCAGGAACATTTGTTTTGGATACTCATAATCCTGATCACTTGATATAGATATCCATTGTGGGCACTTTTAATTTGATGATCAATGCTTAATCTCTTCATTTCAGCTATTCAAGGCCCAACAAAAGGCCCAGATCAAGCATTGATCTCGATATCCACAATGCAAGAGCTCCCAGCTTAGATTTAATTAATTAAATGAAAATTTTCTGAATATCTAGTATTTTCATAAATTCTTGAATACAAAATTTTGTTTAAATTACTAGATAGTGCGATATGTTTTATTATAAATTTAGATGTATGTTCACTGTTCAAATGTTTTTCTTAAGAAAGTCAAAACTTTCTTTCTTGTTTATGATCCTAAAGTTTTGTTCTTTTGTGTAATGAATACCGACCAAATATTCTTTCATATTCTTAGTTCAAAAGATAAACATTAGACAAAGAATATGTTTGCCTAGTTTCTCGTAAAGATAAATAATTGTTTTTTTATCTCATGAAAAAAGTAACATTATTATACTTTTATACCACTTCAAAATAAACTAAAGCTAAAGAACGAAAAGTTTCAGCTTAAATGCCACTTCTGACTTTATTTAACCCTGAATTTTAACCCTGGGTTTAAATATTTAACTTGCCAAAATCGACGAGTTAAAATTTAAACCCAGGGTTAAAATCTTAAAATTTCCTAATTAGTCATCAATAAATCATCATTCAGCTGAGAAAGCGGCATTCAATTTTAAGTTATATTTAAAAATGAAAACCTTGATTAAATAAATTTTACGTTTTAGATTAATTAATGTTTGCATGTGAACCCAAAAAACGGTTGTAAATGGAAATAACTTAAATTTCGCGCATTCTTTATTTTTAAACTCAAATTTCTGGAACATTTCTGTTTTAACTTTGTTCTTATTGCAGCTCCTCTAGTTTTGATTTCGCGCACAAGTATGAGAAAGCAAAAATATCCGGTTCAAACTAGAAACTCAAAACATTTTTCTTCCTACAAATGGCTCTTCAATAAGAGTTAAGATTAAAAACACATTGATTTCTTCAATCTTAAATTCTTTACTTCAGTTTTACATAATATATGCATATTGCATCTATATTAAATATGTATGCAATCAATATACATAATATATGCATATTGCATCTATACTAAATATGTATGCAATAAATATACATAATATATGCATTGCATATTGCATCTATATGAAATATGTATGCAATCACTATACATAATATATGCATATTGCATTTATATTAAATATGTATGCAGTCAATATACATAATATATGCATATTGCATCTATATTAAATATGTATGCAATCAATATACATACTATATGCATATTGCATCTATATCAAATTTGTTTGCAATTAATATACATAATATATGCATATTGCATCTATATTAAATATGTATGCAATCACTATACATAATATATGCATATTGCATCTATATCAAATTTGTTTGCAATTAATATACATAATATATGCATATTGCATCTGTATACATAATATATGCATATTGCATCTATATTAAATATGTATGCAATCACTATACATAATATATGCATATTGCATCTAATTAAATATGTATGCAATCAATATACATAATATATGCATATTGCATCTATATCAAATTTGTTTGCAATTAATATACATAATATATGCATATTGCATCTATATTAAATAAGTATGCAATCAATATACATAATATATGCATATTGCATCTATATTAAATATGTATGCAATCAATATACATAATATATGCATATTGCATCTTTATTAAATATGTATGCCATCAATATACATAATATATGCATATTGCATCTATATCAAATTTGTTTGCAATTAATATACATAATATATGCATATTGCATCTGTACATAATATATGCATATTGCATCTATATTAAATACTAGAAATTCAAGGCGCTTCGCGCCCTTCTTTCTAGCTTTAGAGGGCGCTCTTCGCGCCCTTCTTTCTAGCTTTAGAGGGCGCTTCGCGCCCATCTTCTAAATTAGTTTTGAACATGTTCTCTTTGTGTACATCGTAAAACAAAACAAAAATAATTCGCGGATTTTCACAGAAAATTTCGCGGATTTTCAAAATTTTTAAAATTTAATGACGATCGAATTTTGATGGAGACAAATATTTGAAATTTTGATTTTTCATAAACCTTCCCTGGGGTCCCTAGATGTCCCACAAAAAATTTGGGCCCGATCGGTTCAGCCGTTTTGACGTTTATTGGATACAAACAGACAGACAGACAGACAAGCCAAATTTATATTTTATATATAGATGTATGCAATCAATAATGCATATTGCATCTATATTGAATATGTATGCAATCAATATACATAATATATGCATATTGCATCTATATTAAATATGTATGCAATCCAAAAAGTCTAATATCATTTTGTAAAATGTACAAAGAGGCAATTCATTATGAAGCAACAAAAATATCAATTAAAACTGTGTATGGTTCCTTTAAGCCTTTAAGTTTACTCCTTTAATTTTGAAAGAGGATTGCTCTCATAAACTTGTTTATTTGAATTTAATTCTGTTTAATATAAAACTAACTAGTCAACTCTAGGTTTAAAAATAGAAATGATTGAATTATAAATTTCCTACTTTATTCTCATCCTTTTAGTTATAAACAAATATCACACTTAACCAAAGAGAATAGAATATATATTAGAGTGGAATTTACTAGAAAAAAGTGTAAAACGGCCATTTTGTTGTACTGTTTCCATACTGCAGGTGTACTTCACATATTTATGATAAATAACCTCTTGGGCCCTGGAATATCATTTTATAGAAAATCTAAAATTAATATTAAAGGAAAACCAAATTATGAAATAGACTGGTTTCATAATTGACCAATGATAATTTCACATAGACTCTATGCCTTTCACTTTACAAACGATGATTTTCCGTTATAACTATAAATCAAATGATGTTTTATTCACCTCATTCATTTTATAAATTTTGTTTAACAGCTTAAAAAAATTGAGATTGAAATGGACAGTCTAGGGAACATACTGTATTAATGTACTCTACTGCATGTCATTTGTGAACATTTACATGATTTGTACAATTTGAACGTACTCCCTTTCAGGCTGAAAGGGACTGACAAAATTCATACCGAGGGATTGTCTAAATTCCACTCTAATATATATTCTATTCTCTTTGTACTGTATGTACAGTACATGTTTGGACTTACGGTTATGTTCATACAATATTGTTAGCGAATATCACATAAAAACTGAATAAATACACATTTTTCAAATTTATTTTACAACCATGAACTTTTTCTAAATACTACGAACGGATATATTTAATCCTTTGCATTGAATGTCTTTTTTAAGTTGATAATTTTAATCGTAAAATAATTCAATTTTTATTTGACTCTCTTATTATTGTAGAGCAGTAAGAATTACAGTTTTCAGGGGAAGTAGCACCATTGTCTACCTTTTTCTTTGATCGAAAAAAGAACTCGTACACTAATTAATAATTTCATTGCTTTCTAACCAAGGTTGTTCAGTAAAGTTGCTTACTCTCGATGAGCTCAAATAACCAGGAAATGTCGTCTCCAAATCTATGGATCGTTGAAACCTGTAAATGACATCACAATTTATGGGACAGGTGAGGTTAGGGACACGGTTGGCGGGTGCAAAATTAAACCGGGTCTAGCACACTGTCCTATAATTGGTGACGTCATTTACGGATTTTATCTGTCCAGTGAAGACGACATTTACCGTACTTTGGGGCCCATCGAGAGTACCTTATTAAACGACTTTGGTTAGAATGAACTGTAATTCTCCGTTCAAATTTAGTCTATACAACATGTTTGTATGAAGCAAGATCATTTGAATGCAACTAAGTTGATACCATTGATCTTACTTCGTTTGTAGAATACAGTGGTTCCCCTCGGACCAACATTTTTTTTGTATTTTAACACTTAATTTTGAATTCATTTTGTTTGATTTTAATTTATTAAATCACGTCCAAAGAATGGAGTATTTGCCATAAACCATGATTTATCTTTGCAACCCGATGATTTAGACGTAGACCTTTGATATTTAATTAACTATAAATACTTGTAGATCAAAAAGTCTAAGTTTAAATAAAAAATTTGAGTCAATGGCAAAAGCACAACTCCCTGACTGAACATCATCCATTAAAAAGATGAAGGGTGTATAGACCACATTTTGAAAAGCTTTAACTGTATTAAAAGAATAACTCCAGCGCCTACACATATGATTGGTTTTGTATGCTAATTTAATACATACAGACTATAAGCGTTCTCTTACCTCACAATAATCCATACGGGCTGTAAAATCATTAACTAATAAATTAGACCGGGCTGTTTTATAAATGGTTGCCAGGCCTCTTATGGTTCCTTGAAGCTGTAACCGTTTTATTTCTGATCCAAATCCAGGGGACATTAGTTCCAAAACTAACACTTGGCCCATTTCTAACACTCAGTGTTAGAAATATTTGCTAAAAAAGTTCGTTTTTAAAAATGGTCGTTTTGCAAAACGATCGTTTTTATAGAGCTCGTCGTTTCGTTGCGCGTTTCAAATTCTTTAAATCCTACCTCAGGAACAATTTTACTTTAGGATGTTAATTCACATAATTCCCATGTGTGCGTTTACAGTATTAATTCTACCCGGGATCGCACAACCAGAGTACGGTCAATAATACTTGACTACGTGAGGTTGACGGAAAGATTGTAGGTTCAGCTACAGGTGCTTTATACCAATCCCTGAGTCTCCGCTATCAAGACTGAAATTATGAATATTAGCAAAGGAATTGAGTTTTTACCACAAACTCTGATTTTCTAATATATATATCTTTGTAACCCAATGTCGTAGACCTTAGATATTTCAAACTATTAATACTTATAGATAAAATAATCTAAGTTTAAAATATCAAAGGTTTGCACCATCAAGTTGCAAAGATATTGGGATCAGAAGATTTGAGTTTGTGGCAAAAACTTGCAAAAATATTGGGATCAGAAGATTTGAGTTTGTGGCAAAAACTCAATTCCTTTGAAAACCTTTTTCGTTCAGTTTCATAATATCAAATTACTAGCTGGGGAACCAAGCTTTGCCTAGAGCTTTTAAAACCAAGCTATAAGAAACCTTCTGTGCTTCTCCCAAATTCTCACATTAAAAAATTGAGGTAAATTGGTCAAGGGAGGGTTTTATGAGTTATCGTTCATACAAATATAGAAGGAGAATACAACTTTTTATTTGGTAGATAGATACATGGTATTTTAGTATTTTATTTGGTAGATAGATACATGGTATTTTAGTATTTTATTTGGTAGATAGATACATGGTATTTTAATATTTTATTTGGTAGAAGATACATGGTATTTTAGTATTTTATTTGGTAGATAGATACATGGTATTTTAGTATTTTGTCCCAAGAAAACAATATTCGGCTTAATCTAATTTATCTTGATTAAGAAAATAGTTATAAAACATTGTCCAGGGTCCAAGATAATTATTGCTAATTGAAGACTATACAACTTAAGATAAAACTTATTTCTTGATAAACATAATTTTAATCTTATTTTCAAGAGTGGCATGCCTTCTTCACAACGGTAAAAGCTTTGTAGGATCAAGAATGATTTGATTATTTTCATTTTAAACAGCAGAGCAAATTATGAGGAGAGTGAATACCGTTATAAATCGGCAATAGCGGGTCGATTTAAAGAAGGATATTCCCGACATCAACATTCCCTTTAATACTGCAAAGAACTTTCAACACATTCAACATTAACATAAGGACCAAATAAGTGACATTCAACTTTAGCAAACCGACTTTACCTGAGATTTTTGTCTGGTACGGTACCTGGGAAAATTAAACTTTAGTGAACCGACTTTACCTGAGATTTTTGTCTGGTACGGTACCTGGGAAAATTAAACTTCAGTGAACCGACTTTACCTGAGATTTTTGTCTGGTACCTGGGAAAATTAAACTTCAGTGAACCGACTTTACCTGAGATTTTTGTCTGGTTCCTGGGCAAATTCAACTTCTACAAACTGACTCTGGGGAGAGGACAGAAAACTTGTTGTTTGCCTCGAAAGACCTCCGTCATACTTAAACAAAAAATTTGTTACATTTTTATGTTTTCTTGAATCGATACATGGTGTCTCATGAAACGTGATAGTTGAGAGGCAGCTTAAATGTCGTCTTTGATCTTTACAATTATTTGCAGCATTAATTTTACAACCTCATGTTACAGCATGAATCCAGACATTTCCAAGATGTTGGTTTTTTGTTGTCTCAAACTTGCCGGATATAAAAAGAAGTATGTTTCGATTTAAATTTATTAAATAAAATCTAAATCTTCTAAATCTGGACGAATTTCCTCATATCTGCGTAAATTTTGATGGCAAGGATATCAGACCACAATTCTGAAAAGGATATTTCAAGAATGCCGCATGTTAAATTAGGTTGACGAATGAATGCCAAAATAAGCTTTAAGATAAAAAACGATGTTCAAGTCGTCTCATAGCTGTCATGTTTCGCGAGACACCCTGTCCCTGTGTAGAAATATTACATAATCAATATTTTATATAAATTTAGTCTTTTTATTCAACTTCGAACAACTATTTATATATACAATATGAAGAATCTAGAGAAGGGTAAATTAATCACTTTTCAAAAAGTTTTCTGTAAACCTTCAAAAGTTTGAACTTTTCTCTTGCCTAAAGGATAAAAACATTTTATCTATCATTTTCTCATTTTAAGTAGATACAGCCATTTACTGTAGGCCTTGTTATCTATGTATAAAATGTTGTCTGTTTGTTTGTATGTCAGATCATAACTCAGGAACCCCTTGACGGATTAGCCTTAAATTGTGATTGGGGAATTCGGAAGAACCACGGGATTGTTCTTAGCTTAGTTTTGAGATTCGACGTTAAGTGCTTGCAGTGAAAATTAGGAAAAATAAGTGAAAATACGGGAAAATAGTTCAAATCGCGCCGTTTACGATCAAGGTCGGGTAAACGGCGGGACTAACTATGTTTATTGGTAAGGAAGGATTACGCCTGAAAATAAAAATATTTCTTGGCGGGAAGGATGGAAGTTATAGATCATTTTTGACAGTCTAGCACTAAATAAGAGATTTTATAAGTTTATCAATATATGTATATTGTTAGTAAGGCTAGACGTCGTTCCTTTTTATCTTATTCTTTACAAATTTGTTCGTAGATTTCTCCAAATTTTTCTAATGTCGTCTTTTCAATCAAAATTCCCGGAAATATGCAGAAAACGTTTTGTGAACAATGAGACATTAAAGAAACAAATAACTGAATAAGATTACTTATTTTTTTCTCAACCTGTTCCTAAACAACTAATTTGCAGTTCACTTCAGAATTTTGTTACATTTTTGGTCGTCGATATCTAATAATCTTAAAAAATCGATTCTCAAGACGTAACCACCCAAATGGAAGATTTTAACGTCGACTTTGCAATCAAACTCCGTAATTATTCATCATAAAAACATTTTATATGTCTCAAATGAATCCTAAAAAATTTTCTACAATACTACATTCACAGTTAAACTACCATACATTGCCGGTCACTCCCTTTAAGCTTGTTCTTAATAAATTAAATATTGGCTTCATGGGCTTTTTTGTCGTTCGAGGATTACTTTGATTCCTTTAAAATATCAATGCAAAAGTTGCCACAGTGAATATCGAAATTATTAATATTAAATTATTAAAAGCGCGATCTTCAAACAAAAGTTGTGATCTCTGTTTTTAACAATTAAGGTTTTTTGGCCTTTACGACGAGACTCCATGAATGTATTATGCATGTTTCAAAAATGTATGTATTCATTTTTTTTCTTGTGTTACACTTTGAAAGTATTAAATCTGTCAAAAAACTTGATTTGTATAATTTTGTTTTTATTATCAGTAAAGGTGACATTTTTCAAATGGAAATTAATCTTCTAGAACTTTTAAATGCTAAAAACTTTTCAGATTTTTGGAGACTCAGGAAAATAAAAATTCAAAATTTGGATAAGATCAAGAACATTTTATTTTATAAAAGCTAAAAGATTAAGTTTAAATCTATTTCAAAACTCTTAAATGTATGTAGGAAAACCCCACAAAGGCTAAAGAATGCATGGCACAGAAAACCAGAGAAAGTGAATCTTAATGGGCATGGGCAACGCTGAATACTTCTGGTTGTATTTAACATAAAAGAATTGTTGAGAAATGTGTCTAATTTTTATTCTTTTCCTGAAACTAAAATCTAGATAGTTAACAAGGTAGCAAGGTCGTACCAGTAGCATTAAATACCTGACTGACAGGTGAAGGGAAAAAATTAGTATTTTGAGGAGATGTTGATCCAACTCGACACTCCTCCTCCTCACCCACTCCATAGTACATCTGGTAATACTTAAACAAACAAATCTTAATTTTAATTTTTCATAATTTTTATTCTTATTTTTTCATAATTTTTAATTTGTTATTTTTATCCAAGTTTTTTATCCTTTTTTATTTCTTGGTTGGCTTATTTCTTGTTTAGCTTATTTCTTGGTTAGCTTATTTCTTGGTTAGCTTATTTCACTGTTCATCATTCATTACGATCTTACATTTTCACTATCTAGTTTAATTCATCCAGTGTCTTTGTATTCATCATACTGGCGGAATTCTTTTTTCATCCTTTTTGAGCACGTGAATGTTGTGAAATTGCTGTAAAATGTAGTTAAATAGTGAAACTACTTTTATAGAGAAGTACAGGGTGTCCCACGAAACATGGCAGTTGGTGAAAAGTTTTATGTCTTCTTCTATAATTTGTTCATTTGTTTGTTACCAAAGAGTGTTTAATATTCGGTTAATATCAGTATAACACTCTTATTTTGAAAATTTAGTTTTAGATAAATAATTGTTATCAAACTAATAAGTTGCTTATTTAAATCCAATCTTCTAATTGCATAGATTTAATTTAACAGTAACTGTTTTCAAACTCAATATATTTCTTAATTATTTGATGATTTGAATATGAATATCCATTATCCATAATCTGAACAATAATTGATTTGAAACGGAAAAGTAAATATCTTCTGAACAATTAGTTATAAATATATTTATAAATATATTTATAATATATTTTCAACATAGTTTCTTTGACTTCCATCTAGAAATTGTTGGGACCGTCGACATTATTTTACCTTATATTTAATATTTAAATAGTGATATGCCATATTCTTCCATTTACAATAGTACCATAAACCCTTTTTGATCTAAAACGACGGAGATTTTCTCGCTTTTCTCTCTAAAATTATTAATTTTCAATTTGGGTGCCGCTTTACAAAAAAATGCTACTTTATACAATTAAAAACAGGGAAAAAATTTACAGATCTTTTCAAAATTGAAAGCAGATATCTTTCTCATTTCAATAGAGATAAAGATTTAAAACGTACAATTTTTAATGAGACATGAAACTTTTTTAATGCGAGGTCATTAAAATTACGCCAACAGTCCTTTTAATATCTTGATTTTCTGACCTGTGCTTGCTGTTGTTGATCACTCTCTTCATATTTATCCTGGGCTACTCCTTCCTTCCTTCTGTACGGGGGAAAGTCGTCTTCCTCCTAAAACAGAAAATGGAATTGCAATTTGAACAAGAACAAAGAACAAGAAGAATGAGAACAAGAACAAAAAGAACAAAAACAATGAGAACAAGTGCAATAAGAACAAGAATAATGAGAACGCAAGCAATAAGAACAAGCACAATGAGAACAAGAAGAATGAGAACAAGAACAATGAGAACAAGATCAATAAGAACAAGAACAATGAAAACAAGAACAATGAGAACAAGAACAATAAGAACAAGAACAATGAGAACAAGAACAATAAGAACAAGAACAATGAGAACAAGAACAATAAGAACAAGAACAATGAGCAAAAGAACAATAAGAACAAGAAAAATGAGAACAAGAACAATGAGAACAAGACCAATGAGAACAAGAACAATGAGAACAAGAACAATAAGAACAAGAACAATGAGAACAAGGACAATGAGAACAAGAACAATAAGAACAAGAACAATAAGAACAAGAACAATGAGAACAAGAACAATGAGAACAAGTACAATGAGAACAAGAACAATAAGAACAAGAACAATAAGAACAAGAACAATGAGAACAAGAACAATAAGAACAAGAACAATGAGAACAAGAAAAATAAGAACAAGAACAATGAGAACAAGAATAATGAGAACAAGAAGAATGAGAACAAGAACAATGAGAACAAGAACAATGAGAACAAGAACAATGAGAATGCAGTTATTAAAGCATGGTGTAATATTTAATATATGACCAGATTATAAAAATGCACGAACGAAACAAAGAAAAATTAAAAAAGTGTGTTATAAATCAACGACATTCTCCTACAAGCACTTTTTATTTCGAATTTCAATGGAATATGATCATATGTAGTCAGTCACAATTGCTGAAAAAACGGATTTTGAAAAAAAGCATAATAACTATTGCCATTTTGAACTTGTGTAAACTTTAAATTACGTCTGCTAATACAGTTCCTTTAAACCAAAAATATCATGTCTGCTGCTACAGTTCCTTTAAACCAAAAATATCACGTTTGCTGCTACAGTTCCTTTAAACCAAAAATACCACGTCTGCTGCTACAGTTCCTTTAAACCAAAAATATCACGTCTGCTGTTACAGTTCCTTTAAATCAAAAATATCACGTTTACTGCTATAGTTCCTTTAAACCAAAAATATCACGTCTGCTGCCACAGTTCCTTTAAATCAAAAATACCACGTCTGCTGCTACAGTCCCTTTAAACCAAAAATATCACTGCTGCTACAGTTCCTTTAAACCAAAAATATCACATCTGCTGCTACGCAGCTACAGTTCCTTTAAACCAAACATATCACGTCTGCTGCTACAGTCCCTTTAAACCAAAAATATTACATCTGCTGCTACAGTTCCTTTAAACCAAACATATCACGTCTGCTGCTACAGTCCCTTTAAACCAAATATATCACGTCTGCTGCTACAGTCCCTTTAAACCAAAAATATCATGTTTGCTGGAACAGTTCCTTTAAACTTAAATATCACGTCTGCTGCTACAGTTCCTTTAAACCAAAAATATCACTGCTGCTGCTACATTCCCTATAAATCAAAAATATTACATCTGCTGCTACAGTCTCTTTAAACCAAAAATATTACATCTGCTGCTACAGTTCCTTTAAACCAAAATATCACATCTGCTGCTACGCAGCTACAGTTCCTTTAAACCAAACATATCACGTCTGCTGCTACAGTCCCTTTAAACCAAAAATATCACGACTGCTGCTACGGTCCTTTAAACCAAAATTATCTCGTCTGCTGCTACAGTCCCTTTAAACCAAAAATATAACGTCTGCTGCTACAGTCCCTTTAAACCAAAAATATCACGTCTGCTGCTACAATTCCTTTAAACCAAAAGTATCACGTCTGCTGCTACAATCCCTTTAAACCAAAAATATCACGTCTGCTGCTACAGTCCCTCTAAACCAAAAATATCACGACTGCTGCTACGGTCCTTTAGACCAAAAATATCACGTCTGCTGCTAATGTCCCTTTAAACCAAAAATATCACGTCTGCTGCTAGAGTTCCTTTAAACCAAAAATATCCCATCTGCTGCTACAGTCCCTCTAAACCAAAAATATCACTTATGCTGCATCAGTCCCTTTAAACCAAAAATATTACGTCTGCTGCTACAGTTCCTTTAAACCAAAAATATCAAATCTGCTACTGCAGTTCCTTTAAACCAAAAATATCACGTCTGCTGCTACAGTTCCTTTAAACCAAAAATATCACATCTGCTGCTACAGTCCCTTTAAACCAAAAATATCACATCTGCTGCTACAGTCCCTTTAAACCAAAAATATAGCGTCTACTGCTACAGTTCCTTTAAACCAAAAATATCACGTCTACTGCTACAGTTCCTTTAAATCAAAAATATCACGTTTACTACTATAGTTCCTTTAAACCAAAAATATCACATCTGCTGCTACAGTCCCTTTAAAAAAAAATATCACGTCTACTGCTACAATTCCTTTAAACCAAAAATATCACGTCTGCTGCTACAGTTCCTTTAAACCAAATATATCACGTCTGCTGCTACAGTCCCTTTAAACCAAAAATATCATGTCTACTGCTACAGTTCCTTTAAACCAAATATATCACATCTGCTGCTACAGTTCCTTTAAACCAAAAATATCACGTCTGCTGCTACAGTTCCTTTAAACCAAAAATATCACGACTGCTGCTACAGTTCCTTTAGACCAAAAATATCACATCTTCTGCTACAGTTCCTTTAAACAAAAAATATCGCGTCTGCTGCTACAGTTCCTTTAAACCAAAAATATCACATCTGCTGCTTCAGTTCCTTTAAACCAAAAATATCACGTCTGTTGCTACAGTTCCTTTAAACCAAATATATCACATCTGCTGCTACAGTTCCTTTAAACCAAAAATATCACGACTGCTGCTACAGTTCCTTTAGACCAAAAATATCACATCTTCTGCTACAGTTCCTTTAAACAAAAAATATCGCGTCTGCTGCTACAGTTCCTTTAAACCAAAAATATCACGGGTGCTGCTACAATCCCTTTAAACAAAAAATAAAATGGAAAAGAGAGATTTGGATTAATTCGTTCAAGACAATTTCAAATTTGAAGAAAAGTTAGTACTTACTTGACAAATATAAAGTTTCCCCGAAATTAAATAATCTTTTTCTAAGAATTTCAACAAAATTAAAGATTTTAGATTTTATTTGAATTCCATTTGTCGATAAAGTTTGGAATGTTCAATCAATGAAATTCTTTTTTAATTGATCCTATAACAAAATTATTTAAAGGGATTGTAAACCTAATTTTACTAAATAGCGATGTCTAATTTACAAAGGTACCCTTGACACCTTATTCGGACGAAAATATAGAAGATAACGTAATATCTTTACTTGAAAAGTAATGATTTCTGTGAATTTCTTCATTAATTTTACAAGCAAGAAAATCTGCAATTGAAAATGATGCAGTTTAAATAAACAAAAAAATGCATATATAATTCATACTTGATCAGCAAGATTTTTAGAGTACCATTGTAAATCGGGCATTGGCATCTTTACACGTAGGGTCACTTAAAACTACGCTTACAGAACCTTTAAAAAATTTATTTTAAATTCAAATTTAATTTTAAAAGTTAATTAATCGGATTTTTTAAAATGGCCGACCCGAAAAACTATTTTAAGACAGTCTGTGAACTTTTTGTACTAACGATTTTCGACATTGATAACTTGAACCAACTGGTAACCAATTAGTTTTTCCCTTTACAGCTCTAATTTTTTAAATAATCATCTTACAAGTTTCAATGCATTTAGTAGGATATATCATTATGGACAGTTTGTTTAAAGGGACAGACCGGCTCTATGTATGGTAGTTAAACTGAGATGCAGTGTTGTGGACAAATTCTTTAGGATTCATTTAAGAATTGAAACTTTTTAAAGATCTGTAAATCCAGAGTTTGAGCGCAAAGTCGTCGTTCAAAATCGTACTTTTGGGTGGTTACGTTTTCAGAATTGCTTTTTAAAAAAATAAAAATTAATCTTTTCATCGAAAATAAGTAAACTTATTCAATTATTAGCATCTATGATTATAGATGCTAATAATTGAAGAAGTTTACTTATTATTTACAAATATTTTTTGCAGTTTATCTACCTGGCAGCAATTCATATACTTGGGAGCAGTTTATGTACCTGGGAGCAGCTTGCACTGTAGCATGTTGTGATGAATCCCCCGACCACGAAACCAAGAATGAGTAAGATAATGCTGACTATGATGATTGTGGTGGTAGACAGGGTTATTCCAGACCTATACAGAAAAAGGCTAAACGGAGAAAATACCACAAAAACAATTCATCTTTTACTCTCTGAAAACTTAGAATAATTGGAATAATATGATAAATAGTATTTTTATTTTCATCAATGAATCGGGTCGGAGTTTACAAGAAATCAAATAGAAGTTTTTTTTAATTAACAGCTTCACTTGCCTTCTATGTTTATGTGTATCCATGCTGTTTAATAGGCTTGATACAAATCACAATTGAAATCAAATGTCGTCTTCATTGTATTATAATAATCGCGTACTACTGTATTATTTAAAATCTGACTGAAATTTAGTTGTTGTTGTTATTTTCATCAGTTTTATAATCTTGACGTGTGAGTATGATTATTGCAATTGTAATTAAATGTTACCACACTGACAAAAAGCTTAATTAACATTTATATCCCTTTACAAGCTATAGTAATAGGCAATAGGCCCTTAGAATAATAATATGAAAGATTAAGAATTATTTACCCGTCATAGACTTCCATTTTCGTATTTAGATCATGATTTACCAACTCCAGGCTTTCCTTACTGTTCCTGCACCAGCAAACATCAACAAATTTATCAGGGATGGAAACTGAATAAGTTAAACCGGTTATATTGGGTTTAGTCATTTTTTAACATTTCTCGGTTCACTTTATAGTTACTAAACAGTTGTCAATTAAACGCTTCTCTATGTTTACAAGTAAATATATATTTTGAAAAAGCTGGTTAGATTTAATTAGAAATCAAAATGTAAAAGTCGTATTTATCGTATTAATATAACCGCCGACCACTGAACTATTCAGGATGTCCAAAAAACATGGGAATAAAGCGAACAATTTTAAATCTTTATGATCCGCACGCCATTTTTCCGTGAGAAGATATTGATTTGAAATAATATTTATAATTAAATAATCCTTTTTAAGGTTTATAATCACGATTAATTCATTAGTTTGTTCTAATTTGAAGATTAACAACAAATCCTTTGAAACGTGTGAAACCTCTAATTTGATGCAAAGCATTAACTATATCCTCATATGTGTTTTGAGAACTGGCGTTATTCTTAAAATGTTTATATATGCAACAATTCTTTAATTTGGGACTGACGATAAATGTTGCTCTTAATCTTTTCATTCCGATTCTTAATGGTATCTTTTAAATTTTATCAGAATTCAAAATTTAAAAAACCTGATAGATTATACTTTTGGTATTTTAAGCTTTCACTATACTAATTGATCTATAGTGCAGTGTTTTAAAAAATCGATGGTTTGAAAATGTAGGTTATTCAAGGAATAAAAAATAATTTGTGGCGAGTAATAAGTTTCTTTTGTAAAGGGCCGGACTTTAATCGTAATTTCAAGTTACCTTTCATTACATGCACAATACCTTTGTTATTGCTTCCTCAGATCAATCTTGTCAAATATATTGTCGATTTAAAAGTACTTAATGTTTTCCTGCAGTCAATATAAAATGAGAAATTCACTATCTTCAAAAATAATCTGTTCAAATTTATAAACATTGATACCATTGTGAATCGGGCATTGCCATCTTTGCAATGGAGGGTGTCTGGAAATTAAGCTTACAGTCCTGTTATATTTGATGTTGTTGTTGATAATGTTCCTGAGAAGAGATAAATCTAATTCCATTCTTTGTCTCACCATGAGCAGCTCCTCAACCTGTTCCTAAACAGTAACATATTTCAAACTGAGCTCCTCAACCTGTTCCTAAACAGTAACATATTTAAAACTGAGCTGAGAACTCTTGTATTGTGGATATCGAGATCAATACTTGAACTTCATCTTTTGTTAATCTGCAGATTAATTTAATCTTTACTCGAAACCCAGTCAGGGGTTGAAGGAAGCTTTGATCAGGGGAGGAATTTAACTAAAATGAAGATAGGGAAAGGTGTAAATACTTTTTTTAAAGATACTGAAATTAAAAGTGCCTACAGTGGATATCGAAACATATTTGAGCTAGGTAGCGCGCTCAAATCTTCCGGCTTTTCTAACTAACTCATGCCCTTAACTCAAGGCTTTAAGCTAGAGTTTTATACCTACTGCCTGAGTCCTCAGGCATACTGCCTAAATGCCTTATTTTACCTATTCCAGATTAAACCTATATTTGGACTATTTCCAGTCATTTTATTTAATTTTATTTCTTTCGAAAGTCTATATAACATAAAACAGATTACACAATTTTTGCATCGAAATTTTGAAATATTTTGCACTGGCGCCTTTAAAGGCAATTTGCACATATTCAGTTTTTCTTAAATACTTTATAAAATTTTTTCAGTTCGCTTGATCAAGGACTTCTAAAAAATTTACAGAATTCAGCACTTTTGATGGTGTTAAAAACGACGATATCTTCTTATTTAATAAATATTTTAATCGTTATTACGCTTTCAGTATTACCTTTCAAAATTGAATTAACCCATATAACCATTTAACCCTTTGGGCTTATTTTGTCTAATATATATAAGAGTTCCTCCCACCCCCATGATTTTGACCTAAGTGTTAAGATAACTGAGTGTGATACAAGTCTAAATTTTCAAGGCAAGCTAATAGCAAAAATTAGACCAATTACTTCAATGGTTTGGGTGCTAGGGAGTTTTTTAAAAGTACGTCCGCTGAAAGATGTTGACAAATATTATTTTTACAATAAAACATTCTGCGACTCAATTTTTTTTCAAAATTAAATTAAGTTATTCTTAAAATTTCTTCATTAAAGTTTCTGTTGAAAATATATTTAGTATATATATTTAAGACTGTGTATATCCTAAACCTCATAAATATCAATTTGTTCCAACTTTGCCAAAATGTATTACATGAAGGTAGTTAGGATACAAGCTCGTAGAGGAAACAACAAATAGGGGGGGGGGGGTCACCCGGGGAAGGTTTATGGTTTGGTCTGAATCAAAAAAATTTATTTTCTAAAATCCACAAAAACAGTCTATAAATCAGCAAAAACAGTTTTGTTATCGTTTGATAATAAACTAAGAATGTGTACATAAGATAAAAGTAAACTAAGAATATGTACATAAGATAAAAGAAAACTAAGAATATGTACATAAGATAAAAGCAAACTAAGAATGTGTACATAAGATAAAAAAATCTAAAGTTTGTAATATCAAACTGTCTGAATGATACGAATAGAAACATTTTACATTTTATTAGTGCAGCTCTTTATTAGTGTATTTCGTTCAGAAATTATTAGAAGCAACCAGAGGCGTATTCAGGGGGGGGGGATCAGCCCCCCCCCCTGAAAAAGTAAAGGCTTTAATTTTCTGGGGGGTTTTAGCCCCGAAAGGAGGCTGAGCCCCCCCCCCTCTGTTAAGGAGTGGCCAATTAGCAACGCCCCCTCCCCCTTCCGACTATAGCTAATGGACTGAGTAATGAGTGATCAACCCCCCCCCCCAAGCCCCCTCTAGTATATGTTTATTGTTTAATGTTTATGGATCTTATTATTTTATGTTTTATGATATTATTTAATTTTAAATTTCGCGCGGTTTTAATTATCAGAGAAGCTTTTTGCCGTAGTGATATATGTAAAGTTGTAATTTGTTATTTTTAAAGCAATAAAATGTCAAAGTTCTTTCAGATAATTCATTGTGGTCCTTAATTTCCAATTTTTTTTTTGCAATTCTTAGAAATTTTTGTTGACAGCAAATTAATTTTTATTAAATATAATGATATATTTGCAATTACAGAAATGTTGAACACTTTTTGGAAACTTGTTTTTACGAAAGAAATGAGTAAACAAAATCTAAAACACTAAAAATAAACATCTTACTTAAAAAGATTATTTCTTGTCTCACTTCATGGTTTTAAAATATATTTACATTTTGTTGAAAGGTTTGTTAAAGCGAAAATTATTTTGAAAGAAGTTGGAAGGTTTAAGTGAAATGATCAAAAAAATTAATTTATTTTTGTTTTAGTTGATCAAGACAAGCTGGATTTAGTTACTTGTTCAAAAAAAGTCAAAGCTCAAAAATTTCTAAAATTTTGTCCGAAATTATGATGAGAATGTTAGAAACATCAAAAATTTATAGTTATTCTTAACAACTGTATACGAAAGTTCTAAATGTTTACGGTCAGGCGGTTTAATATAATAAATACAATTACACTTAGACGAGGTTTACAGTTGAAAGTTGGAACACTTAGAGTTTTATAAACTTTGAAGGGGGCTTCAGACGATATTTTAAATGCTTCTTTCTTTAAAGATATAGAATAGAGAGTCCGATCCAATTAGCAACGAAGTCCTTTAAACCTTTATCTGGTTAAAAATGAGGAAAATATCGCCATGATTTTCTTAAAAAGTGTCAATTTTTTAAAATTTCTTTCATTGTCGCTGCAGCGTAAATTCGCAAGATAGAGCAATTACAATTGAAATCAATCGAGTTTCAGCCGGAAATCTCACTTTTATTGTGAATAGGATTTACTATTCTATGAAAGGCCAAGGTCACCTGAAAATACGTGTCTAGTCCTTTCAAAGTAAAATTTACCTTAAGGATCCGGTTTTCTAGTTTTGCTTTCTTGATATCCTTACAGTGGAAGGGACGAGATAGGGCAGACATGGTATACAGCTTACCAGTATACTCTCTTTATACAACAGGATACTTAGATACACATTTAGATAGATAGATAGATAGATAGATAGATAGATAGATAGATAGATAGATAGATAGATAGATATCCAATAAAATTTTAGCAAATTTTGATTTAAATCTTACTTGAAAAGAAAATATTTAAAGGGAGTGTTCGCGAAAAATGAAAGGGGGTATAGGCTTAATGCGATAAAAAAGCGCTTTTGATCGCTACTAATCTTACTTCTATCTGTTGCGTCTATAAGGAGAAAATTGTTAAAAACGACTAATACCGAAGAACAGAGCGCCCATACAAATTCAGAAAGATGCAACATACGACTTAGACCGTAAAAAAATCAATTTAATTTCAAACAAATCATTCAGATATTACAACCTATAGTCATCGATTATCATTCGCCACATTTGCATATAGTTGATTTTTCATAATATGTTTTAATTGTTATGATCTGAGAGTTATTTATAAAAACATTTATTCCTGTTTCGAGGATTTTTGATAATGAAGACGACATTTTAATATTTTCCAGGAATGTTTGAAAACAAGTTGTAAGCTAAATATTATTTTAGAAAATAAAATCAAAACACACTATGAAAAATCAACTATATACAAATGTGGCGAAAGATAATCGATGACTATAGGTTGTAATATCTAAATGATTTGTTTGAAATTAAATAGATTTTTTTACGGTCTAAGTCGTATGTTGATTCTTTCTGAATTTGTCTGGACACTGCGTTCTTCGTTATTAGTCGTTTTTAACAATTTTCTCCTTATAGACGCAACAGATAGAAGAAAGATTAGTAGCGATCAAAAGCGCTTTTTTATCGCATTAAGCCTATACCCCTTTCATTTTTCGTGAACACTTCCTTTAAAGAACTGAATGGAATCTCATAAAATTTGTTTAAAATTAGCATGCAATAACTTATACAGAGATCTATAGACATATCGATTTTAAAATAAAAATTATCAACCCAAAATACATTTTTTTTAATTGAAATTCCTGGTTCGGAGATTTAATGGAATTGATGTTGCTTAAAGAGACTGTGTAATTTCAAACAATCTTCTTTGAAGAAATTTAAAACTGTATATTCGTAATATCAAAGTTGCAGCACCCGTACTTTGAATGTATATCTAGTTAAAAAAAACTAGTTGATAAGCTGTTTTATAATTAAAATTATCATTATTTCTTTTCCAGAAGTTATAGAAAATAAATATTTTCATATAAAAATAGTTTTTACATATTAAATCTAAATTTTAGCATTTCTGATTCGGGAAATATGGATTCATAAATAATATTCACTGCATTAAAGGTAACCTGTGATTACAAGTCCCTTAAATTTAACCCTTCAATATAATGTTCAAGATTTTATTTTGAATGTCAAATACAATTCATGTCTGAATTAAACAGATTTCATGATAAAATTTCTAAAGTTTAAATCTGTTCAATATTCTGTAGATTTCATGTAAAACAGTTCCAATTTTAGTTATCATTTTTATTAGTATAACTATTTATATTATATTATATATTTATTTATTTTGGTTCGCAGTGTTAAACAGCTTTTGGACAGAAATTTTCTCTATATCTCGAAGGTTCAAGCCTTTTTAGATTTGATTTTGTCCCGAAATTTTGCGAGGGACAAAATATAATCTAAAAAGGCGAGAACCTTCGAGATATAGAGAAAATTTCTGTCCAAAAATGTTATAGCACGTAGTGCCAAAATAATAGTGTTATAGGTAATTTTATGAAACGTTTCTGTACTTGTCTTATTTCAATGGCTGTTTCTAGATCAAATAAGCTTTGAAACAAAGCAGAAGTCAAAATATAAAGTTGATTTCAAATTAATTTTTATTTCAATTAAAAAAAATACTTTTTAAATATCCTAATTTTTTTTTGAGAAAATCCGGGAACCAATCAAAACTTTATAGCAGACGTTTAATAATGTACATATAATTTAACTTTATAGCACGATGATTACTTTATTCATTATTAAATTCAAGATGAAGTGAGTAATAATGATAAAGTACACAATAGTTTCATAAAAGATTTTTTTAAATTGTAAAATATAATTTAAAGTTTAACGTCTTTAATTCCGCAGTTTCATAATCTTCAAGTGGCGAACACTTAGTAAAGACTACAGAGCTAATTTTAATTTAGGTTTTAAATAATCGGGAACAATTTAATATGAAAACACTCCCGGCCTAGTCTAGTAAGGCTAGATATAAAAAGAAAATTTAGAAAGGAATTAACATATTTCAAGCTTAGATTATTATATCAAAGTTTAACGGTATTGGGATGAAAAGATATAGGGATAAGGAAAGAAGGGTTTGTGGCAAAGACTTAAGTTCTTAGATGTTTAGAGAAGTTATGATTTGAAGAATTTGGCAAATAGCAAATGACTTTAAAAAGTTGGAGAATTAAAATAAAAGTTTTAAAAAGTTTTTAAAAAAGTAAATTTTTTTTATAATAATAGAAAGACAAATTTTAGTTTAAAGATCAGAAAATCAGAGATTAGATAAAAATTTAGATATTAGAAATTAAAAAAAACAGCGTTTACAATAATATAGAAAGTTAGAGATTTAGAGAATAAAAGAGCTAGATTATTTAAGAATAACAGATCAAGAAAATTAGAAAATTAGTAAGTTAGAGAATACAAGAATTAGATTATTTGAAAATAAGAGATCAAGAAAAATAGAAAATTCGTAAGTTAGAGAATAAAAGAATTAGATTATTTAAGAATAAGAGATCAAGAAAATTAGGAAATTTGTGAGTTAGAGAATAAAAGAATTAGATTATTTAAGAATAAGAGAGCTAGAAAATTAGAAAATTAGAGATTTAGAGAATACAAAATTTAGATTATTTAAGAATAAGATATCAAGAAAATTAGGAAATTAGTAAGTTAAAGAATAAAAGAATTAGATTATTTTAAAATAAGAGATCTAGAAAACTGGGAAATTAGTCAGTCAGAAATAAGATAATTAAAAATTATATTATTAGTTTAGATAAATATGGCTAGAGAAATAGATAATCAAAAAAATTAATAATTTTAAATAAGTAAAAAGTAAAAAGTGATTATTAAGAAAATTAAATAACGAGGGATTAAAATAAATAACTAATTTTTAAAAATTTTTAAATAAGTGTCTTGGTTCCTGAATTTCTGACGTGGATAAGTCTCGTTGGTAACATCAAAATATGTATCAATAAACACTGTCTGTAGTGGTCTGCTAGTAATATCTTGTTATCATTAAAGTTTAGAGTAAAGCAATGGGTTAAATATCCCATGTTGGGTCAAATTTATCTATACACAAACTGAATTACCCTTCGTTGCCCGTGCAATTTAAAAAATCAAATTTTGAAACAAAAATAGAATTTTGATAAAAAAAATGTATGATCTAACAAAATGTGTTCGAATTTTTTAGTCCAATTTCATGCTAAGAGCTCTATTACATAGATGTTTGTACATCATAATTTCAGCATTCTGAATGCACATTAACATTGTCTATTCATTTGTCTTAATTTGTGCTTCCTAAATGTACATTCTAAATGTGCGTTCTGTTCTGAATGTGCATCTTAGCTAAATGTGAGCTGTGTATTTAATGTGCTTGGTGATCTCAACTAGCGCGTCCTAACATTGAATAGTGTCCATCCTTATTTATGCGTCTTTAATGTAATTGTCAACCTGATCTAACAATTTGATCCTGTTATTATAGCAAGCTGTCAACCTTCGATCTTATTTTGAGAAAAGAATTGAGTATTTGCCACCAACTCTTATTAAAATCTCTATATTTTTGCAACCCAATGAAGTAGACCTTACGATATTTCAAACCACAGTGAATTTTTTTGGATGAATTAATCTTAGTTTGAATTATTAAAGGTTTACACAATCAGGCTGCATAGATATAGGGATAAGACAACTAGAAATGATCAAACAGTGATTAATCGAGGGTCCGATTGTGCGTCCTAAATGTGCGTTCTCTTAAACAAAATAGAAATCCCAACCAAGGAATGATAAATCTTGTGACGATCATCAATTTTGAGAAAATTATCCCAATAAAGAAACAAAGGAATTTATACAAATGTATTTATTAAAAAGTTCTTTGAACAGATTCTTTTAACTCTATGTTCTCTAAGTTTGGTTTATTCTTGTAATAATTAACAGATATTTTCCTAGGGCTGATATTTCCAAGTAGGCCATTGTTTACGTGCTCTATTCAGGGACAAATATTAATAAGTATAATTCTTTGAAAATAAATTCTAATTAAAAGAGATTGTTAACGTAAATTCTAAAAGAATTTTAATTATCAAAACTTTTTTTTATGAATCATATGATTGTAGCGCACAATTTGTCTATTTAGATATTTTGGCCAATTCCTTGCTCGTCTTTAATCAAAATATTCGGCAAAAGTAAAAGGGACCGTAAGCGTAAATTCAATTGACCCTGCATGCAAAGATGACAATGCCTGATTTACAACGATACCCTTGAAAGCTTTGTATGATCAACTATGAATAAGATATCCATATATTTTTTAAACGGTTTATTTCATTTGCAGTTTATCTTTTATATGAAGCCATGGAGAAACTCACAGTAAAACATTTTTCGAGTCAGAAAAACGTCGGTATCTTCCGATCAGATTAGGGTACTGTTGGAAATCGGACATTGCCATCTTTGCATGTCGAAAGTGTCACTTCAACATACGCTCACATTCCTTTTCAGACACTTTTCCCATCGGCGTCGTTTTTGCTGTGAATCGTCAATAAGTGTATTAATGAAGAGGTTACAACATATCTTTTGAATTCAGATATGATTTAACATAAGAAGGGGGACCGGAGGTAGGGGGGGGGGGATAGAAGTAAGGCTAAGGGGGGTAAGGAAAATAAATAAGGGAAAGAGGCAGAGTAAAAATTGAAAGCGTGTAAATAGGAGGCATAGATACAGGAGGCTGCACCAAATTTTAAGACTGGGTTGAAGTTAAAGTGTCATAACTTACAACGCCTTGATCTTTGATTTATACCACATATCTACTCACTTTTGTGTAGTTTTAGAACTGTGCATTTTAGAATTATAAAAAATTTGTTCATAGCTTCAGCTTTAAAGAAGTAATTGGCAAAATTCTCATAGATGTTTGCGTGGGAGCTTGCAACCTTTAGATCAATGCACTTTTGGGAGAGAGGGCAATTCAAAGGGAAATAAGAAAGAGGAAGGGAGAACAAAATTAGTTAATAATAGGAGGGAAGGGGGTGGGGGGTTGACAGGGTTGAACAGGAAATTGCGGTCTAGTAAAAAATGAAATCAAAAAAGAGAGAGAGTATAAGCATAACCTAGAAATAGTTAATAGATCAAAAAGGCGAATAATAAGAAAAAAAATTTTGTTAAAAATATATTTTTCCATTCCTGAAAAGCTGGTTTCGTCCAGGTGTTTGCTTTTTCGTCGACGAATTGATAGATCGTCGAACGCGTAATGTGTTGCTTCAATGACAGTGTTGTCCCAGAACTCATCTCCAAAAATATTTTGAAGGTTTCGAAGCATCAATCGAAGTGATTTCGTCACTCTATTATCTGTCTCCTATAAAAATAAATAACAAAGGTTATTTTTATTTAAAGGGAGTGTTCGCGAAAAATGCGATAAAAAGCGCTTTTGATCTCTAATAATCTTACTTCTATCTGTTGCGTCTATTTAAGGAGAAAATTGTTAAAGACGTCTCATACCAAATAACTTAGCGTCCATACAAATTCAGAAAATTGCACAAATGACTTAGACCGTAAAAAAATCAATTTAATTTTAAACAAATCATTCAGATAACCTATAGTCATCGATTATCTTTCGCCACATTAGTAAATAGTCTTTCAATTTCAACACTTTTGATGCTTTGACCGTGTAGTAAAGCATCCAAAGTGTAATTTGAAAGCATCATAATCAACATTTGAAAGCATTATTTCCGCAGCTTGGGTTATGTTAGGTTACACAAAGCATCACAAATTACATGTGAAAGCATCATAATTGTCCTAATTGATAAAAAATAGTTTATATTTTATAATGCGCCCAGGAAGCTCAATGGTATACCTGATTAATTTATATTCACAACATGTCAAGTATTATTTAAGACTTGACGAACAAATAAGATTGTCAAAACTACATGTTTTCTTCAATATCTACAAAACGTTTAAGTATTGACGAATGACATTGCAGCTTGTGTTCTTTCAAATAACAATTTTCACGTTGTTTGGAAATGTATAATGTTAAAAATTATTAATAGTTTAAACCAACAACTTTTGCTTTAAAAGGAGGAAATAAAAGTCAAGAAATATCACTAAAGGAAATGAGTTTTTGTCACAAACTCTATTTTTCCAATTCCAATATCTTTGCAACCTTTTCATATTTCAAACTATACATTCTTTTATATCAAACAGTCAAGTTTGAAATATCAAAGGCAGGTTTACACTATCAGGTTGCAATGATAAAAGGGATTAGAGCATTTTAGATTCTGGCAAAAACATTTGTTTTAGGCTGGCGAGCAAGGACCAGTATTAATGTTTAATAGAAGCTTTCCAAGATTAAATAAAAAAAAGTATAAAAACAGAAAATAAAGACCACTTTAAATCGCATTTTTTATTGTAAGATAAGCACGTTACTCTAAAATTATTACTATTATTTTGAATTTTGTCGGACGCAAAAACTATATGACACTTGTGATGTAAGAATACAGCTGTACTGAGAGTGTACAAATTCCACGTTTCCATCTAATTGTACTAGAATCTATTTGGTACCACAGAGTAGTACCAAGCTGGACAAGCTGCAGGAGAGGGGGGGGGG